GCCCTTCCATTTGGCCATGGGTCAACATCCAAATCGTACCCCCAGTGAACATCCCAATCCACCCACGAAAATCGGTTCTAAACTGGGCGGTGAATTGACCTAGCCCAAAATGGTACCATTGGTTTTGACCCACAGCCATACTAGTCGGGATGAGCCAATTTCTATATTACCCAACCCACCATACCCCGGGATTATAACAGCCATGCGGCGCGAATTTCGCGCGCGCCCACGCGATCGCGCCTTGCACTCCCGGGGGCCCGAGACAACCGCCACGCCCGGAGGCCCGTCGAGCATCCTCGCGCGATGCTCGGGGGGTTGCCCCATGGCCTGGAGCTGCTTGGGTTGATTTGGGTCTGGGCTTTTAATAGACTTAGGGATCCGGATGCATTATACACCTGAACATTGCAACTTGTAAATGGTGGTTTCCCTCTATTTTGGTGTTGAAAAAGAAACATGTGTCAAATGGTTGCAAAATGTATCTGTTAAGAAGCCCTGCTTAAGGGTACCCCTTCTGGAGTGGTAAAGGAACAGGACACCATCCATTTTCTGGTGTCCCATATTTTAAAACACCCGTTTGGGTTTCCCTTTGAAGCAGCACCAAAAAGGGCAGCCTCCAAAAACACACACACACAAATGTACGTGTGTGGTTTTCTTGCTTGTCGGTTCTCTATCTTGTTTTTCTCTTGTTCAACGCCTGCGTTTTTGCCGCCAGTTCTTGTTGACGTCCGTTTTGCTCGCCCCTCGATGTTTGTTTTTTCCACATCGGTTTGCCACTCGTTTTCGTTTGCCCCTTGTTGCCACCAGTGTTTTTTGAGTTGGCGCTGTCAACCCCATCGATCGGTTGAACAGGGGTCCTGTCGCCTGCGGGAGGAACGGCAACAAAACCACACGGGGCATGAGCACCACTGGCTGAAGACAGGGCACCGGGAAAACATAAGCGTCCACAGGAAAATATAAGCGTATTTCCAGTAGTGATAGGTTCCCTTTAAAACCAAAGCACATGGAAGTTGTTAGTTGATTTAAGGAAGCTTTTGTGGCTGTTGCAGTCTGCGCAAAGCTCAACAGTTTGCTAGAGATAAACACACATTTGCCCAATAAGTTAATGACTACAGATCCAGCCACATAGCCAAGAACCCCCTTGAAGACAAAACACCATCCCACACGTTTGACAATTCGGGAATGTGTCAAACTAGGGCGGTGGACCTTGACCCCAACTTGGATTGGTGGTTTGGTGCTCTAGGAGTGGTTTCCCACTTACCCTCTATAACTCGACGGCTACCAAAGACAACAGCTTCATTGTTCCAAACTTCGGTCTCTGGGTGGCTTCTCATGTTGCAAGCTAGGAACCCGGCAAGTTGAGTTCCCCGGGGTTGCCCCATACGCCTTCAAAGCCAAAATTCACAGCTCCTCACAACAACCGCCGGCCACCCCACCCCTTAACCTTCTACCCGGGCTACGACTGTTTTGAGTGGCAAACAAGCAAAAAAAAACAGTTGCCGGCAACACCCAGTGGCAATATGCTTTCTGATACTTGGTTTCAAAGGGAAACCGTACATACATCACCTTCTACCCGGGCTACGACTTTCCCCCGTGGCAAATAGGAAAAAACCAAGGAGTTGCCAGCCTGCCTTCAAAGGGAGTTCCAATGGAAAAAACGACGCAGGAGTCTCGAATCAAGCTCCTGGGATAGGCAGAGTAGCTGGTCAGCAAGCACCCGCCACTGGACCAAAAGGAGAAGTGCCTCGGCGCCGGCACTGTGCATGGCCCCTTTTTGGGCCGGTGTACAAGGGAAACACGGGAAAACCACGCGGGGGTGCCCAATTTTGTATGTGCTTTTATTCTGGAGGGAAGCCTTTTCAAGGTTGGTTTAAAGGTAAGCCAAAGGGAAGGACACCATTTGGGGCTCCCCCAATTTTGACACACACCCCTCCCCAAAGGATCCTTCTGTTGGAAAGGCTACTACTTGCCTTGACGTGGATTCAATTGGTGGTAAAACAGAACGTCGGGCCAACGCCTCTTTTCCAACAACTATGGTCTCGCGAGAAGTTCCCCGCCCAAACATTTCACCCACAAAAAGGACACTGTAAAAAGGCCCTACAGTCCTGGGTAACTCACCGAGAAAGGGACATATACGAGGAAACCAGCGACAACGGGAGCAAAAGGGCCTTTGTTCACTTCCTGGGTGGAATGGCCAAGAAAAGCAACCAAACTTGTTACTTGCCTGTAACATGTTGCAAACCCAAAAAAGGTCACATAAAGTCCGAACCGGAACGGTGAGACATTTGTTGTTGGCATCTATCTAGGAGTTGATTCCCCATTATTTTCAACCATTATTCTTTCCAAAAACCGGCCGTTTTCCCTTGGGGTTCCGGAGGTTTTCTAGCAAGAAGGATCCCTGGAAGAAATGGGGAAGGTACCCCTAGAATCGAATCTACAGCTCTCCAAAGCTTAAAGAAGCCTGGCGCGGACTGCGCGCTAAGCCCGGCGCTCGCATAGGTAGGTCTCGGCGCACTGCATCTGGCACTCCAAGGCGCCTTAGGACGAATTTGAAGGAATGGGAACCCCAGCTTCTTAACTCAAATGCCCAGTGGCCATGGAAAAAAAGGGCATCTTTTTTGGTTGGTTGAGTTTAAAGGGGAACCCTTCCCCGAAAAAAGGAAAAAAAGGGCACCACTGGGCAACAAAGTTAATCTCACTGACGCGGATTGGTCAGAAAAAACACACACACACACACTTGTTGCTTTCCCACAAAAATGGTCTATCCAAAAAACAATGAATGTCCAGGAACTCAGGGAGTGAGTAATGGGGTGGTTGTGGGGACTGAGACCACGTTTGGAGGGGAACACCCTTGGGGACCCTATGGACATCAAAACTCGGTGTACCCTGTTAACCTTCATAGCCACATGAGCCCCGGGATTCTTTGGCGAGCTCCGGGCAAATGATCATAATTACAAAGGCCATGGACATGGGGCATCAAAATAATAGGGGGGATTCATCATATCGGTGGAATGTTGGCTCCCCTTGATTTTAGAACCAAGCACGCACGCACGCACGCACGCACGCTGTTGCGCTTTTACACCACACACACGCACACGCACACGCACACTTTTTGTACACGCACACCACACGCACACGCACACGCGCACGCGCACGCGCACGCGCACGCACACGCGCATGCACACTCACACGCACACGCACCCGCACCGCACACGCCACGCCACGCACACACACGCACACACCACACCACACGCACACCTTTACCACACACGCACCACACATACATACGCACACGCATACCACCACCACACCACACACACCACCACCACACCTTATACTTTTACGCACACACACACACACACACACACACACACACACCACCACCACACATACGCATGCAGCATCACCTTAATACGCAACATATGCATGCATATACCTTACCATAACATACCGCACAACACGCACCAACACCACTGTTCCACCACCACGCAAACACCACCTTCCACCACGCACACCACGCAACTTTACTTTTTCCTTACCACCGGCACTACCTTTACACCTTTACACCACCACACACCACACACCGCACTGCCACACCACCACACCTTACACACCAACACACAGCAAATAACACCAAGCCACACACACCTTTTACACCTTTTATTGGTGAACTTGGTTTTCGAGCTCCACCTTTACAAGCACCTGCCGTACAAGTTTCTGACGAAACTTTGTACTACATAAACGTACCATACACCATACAGCATATACCTTTTTCCAGCACTTCTACACGCCCTACTCTCTCATGCATACATACATGCACGCGCGCCATACCCACCCCCACCCACCCACCCACCCACGCACGCACGCAAACACACAAACACGGAAACCAGACACAAACACAAGCAGCTTGAACATGACAACATAGAAGCGTGGAATGTTCCCAAGCGCTCTCGGTGAAACTGGGTTCGCAGAAAGCTAGCAATCCACAAAAGCGGGATTTCAAAACAAAACCGTGAAAGAGCACTTTGCAAATCGCTTTGTGAATCAGTTCTTGCAGTAGTGATGTATTCCCGTTCAAAACCAACAAGGAAACCAATGAAACATCGCAAGCAAATGGAGAAACATGGCAAACCCACCAAACCAACAAAAACATGGGGTTTTGCTCTTGCCGTTTCGCGCTGAATCCTTCGGTCAGCTTTCTGAAGCTCTCTGAGCCAGGCGCTACTGACACGAGTCTCTTCGGCGGCATGAAGAGAAAAGTGCCCCGACTGCTCCACCTGGCGGTCGACAGTATCCATTGTTCCTTCCTACCCTCCAATTACCCGGGTTTTGATTGTGACTGATGCTACGGTATGGGAATCGGGACATATTATGGAGGTTTACCACTTGTGTAAGGTGCATGTGCAGTCTCAAAAGGCGTATTTAGGTGGCACAAAAAACCTCCGTAGCTTCACAACCCCTACCTGAACATGTTCTTGTTTTGAGGGTAGGGTAAATGCCAAATCAATATTGCAAAACAAGAGAACACGCAACCCCCACGTTGGGTACCTTGCAAATACTTAAGGGTGGCCACAGTACCCCTCTTTGGGCAAATTGAAAAGTAAACAAACAAAGGACGGTTGCCTAAGATCCTTACCAACGAAAGTAGGGTGGTGAGAAATGGATTTCAAAGGGAAACCACCAATTCACTTGAGGTGCCTCCCTCCTTTAGCGACATACCCAGGCCGGATTCACATGGTCACATGTTGATGCTGTTTTGACCCACCCCTCAGCATGACAAGACTAAAGAATACCGCCACATGAATAAACCAGTCGTAAATAGTGCTTGTGTTCCTCCCAAGATGGTCTGAATCCCCCAACAAAAGGGAAGACCCCCCCCCTTCCTCAACCAGGAATTTAGTGTTCCCGAATTCAATAAGCACCTGTTGCTTTGGGTCCTGAAGGAAGCAACATCCGACCTCTTTGCTAGACACCACTAGGTCACTAGGTGGAAACAATCGAAAGGGCATCCAGACTTTGTTTCTAGGCACACTTGGGCCCAAAGAAAGGGACAAGGTTCAAACAGGGGAACCAATATGAAGCCAATCAACCCAAACAGCCCTAGTTTTGTCACACGCACGCAACCGCCGGACAAGTTTCCACGCAGAATCCGCCACACAAAACGGGGAAGGCTTGCTTCGCCAGAGAAGCTGAAGACAAGAACATGACTCACCTCACTGGAAACCAGCACCAGGTGTAGAATAGGGTGCGGGCTACTGACAAATACCAACTTCAGGCGCCATGGAAGCATGTTTGTAAGGATTTAGCCCCGGCTCATTGGTATTAAATGTCATCCACTGTCCAAGTCGTGAGAAACCCTGTAACCGTTCATCGGCAAACCTTTGCTACATTTGAACTATCGAACTCCCAACCAGTTTGTCGGCCTTCACTCACTCTCCTTCGGTTCTCGACAAGTCGAGCTAGTTGGTTCCTCTTCACTCCTGGTTGCCTAAATTTGCCAAAGTACATGTCCCTTTCTACCCTTGCTACCTCAAAGGGAAACTAAAGGGCTACCCATTCTAGGGGTTCCAAATCCCAGAGATGGACCCCTTCCAAGACCAGCCGGAGCAGCGAAGTACGTCTTGTTCTTGTAGCATTTCTCGTAGCCTTTCGGCAGAATCTCCTGGGCAATACGGCGATACATGACAAATCAGCTGCGGTTGTACGGCGGATGCTCGACATATTGCAGCTTTCGGACTCTCCTTTGGGGTATCCCTCCAAACACAATTTCGTCCCCAAACACACTCCCTTGGGCAACACTAAAATTGAAGCCCTGCAAAATTCTGAGGGAAACCCAATTTTCCTGCTGCTATGCCCATTTTCGTTGGATGTGGCTTGGCTCACTTGAGATATTTTCCCACATGACTCTCTTCAGGAAGACCAAACAAGGGTCTCGACTGTTTTTGCACCCGGCTTGGCCCTTTTCAACACCTAGCCAAGGAGCGCAATCGTAACACCGTGACATGGGTGTGGCTCAAAATTAAGGAGCTGAAATTACGCAGGTTTTGGTCTTTATTTCCATAGAAGGGGCCAACAATGGTACCACTTTCTTGAGCCACAGCCACATGGATCTGAGGCATCGTTGGGCACTGAGGTGCTGGCTACCAGGCTGATGACCGGTGTGATGGAGCCCGCCTCATTTCCAGGCTGGTGGGGTTCTCAGGCAATGAGGGACTGACGGCAAGTAAGGGAATCCCTTTCCGGTTCATTCTCAAAACCCGGAGCAGTCATTCCCTATCGCACAAGCAAGACAAAGGGCTTTGCCAAAATGAGCGGTCTTCGTTGATTCCTTTTAATCAAGCAAGCGTAACAAGGCTATAGCCTCAAAGAGACACATCCCCCTGTGAAATATGTTGAATGCCGAGGGCTAAGGACAAGTCTTGGTTTACGTTGGAACGGGAGCAAAAATTTAAATATTAGCAGTTAAGTGGTTGGATTTCAACCACTCAACCACAATAAGCAAAGATGGGAAAATGTTTCCCGACGACAACCCTGAAATGGGGTAGTTGAGAGCGGTCGGGCTCCTTAGGCTGGGAGCCTTAGAGTCAAGAGGCCCCAGGTGCCCGAAAGCCCGGTGAACGCCCACATCTGGGCTCCGGTCTGGCGCCGGAAGCGACCTGAAGCCGGCAAATAGACGGACCAAGTTCCGCCTGAGGGTAATCCGTTTGGTTTGAAAGGAAACCAAGGACACCACCAAACAAATTGGAGGGGTTCTATGGCAAGGAAACCATGCGCTGGAAAACAGGGCATGAAATTGTTCCCGCGCGAACTCAACATCACCCCACGTGGGTCTGCCTGCTTTTGGGGGACCAACCAAACTTGTTGTTTTGTTTTGTTCTTGCTTTAGCTTGAAAACCACACAACAACGGGTTCCCTCAAACCACCTGGAGCAACCTCACCGAGGTTGCCCCCTAACCATACAACATGTTTTGAGATTCTGGTCCATACAGTATTAAGTGAACCTCACGTGCGCGGCATGAATTCGACAAACAAGTTTGCTAATTTGAGGATTATCGCCATACATTACTTTCAACCTATGCGGTTGCCGCAATGGACATTGGAAATTCGTGAGGTCCCCTCCGAAAGCGACGATACTGGATACTTTGAAACCGAACGAATGTTGCATAAAGTTTAAAGGGGCAATGGTCATGGTTCCCTCGACGGGACCAACGGCTCTGCAAATTCCTTATATAAGGCGATCCCGTCGGAAAAGAAGTTCTGACTCTGTTCCATATTTCGCCTACCCTACTCTGGGCTGCTCCTCTTCGATCAGCTGCTGAAAGATTAACGTTTAGTGGTTTAGTGGAAACTACTAGTACCAACAAACCCTCCAAACCTAAAACCTAAGGGGATAGCTGAGAACCACCAAGTATAATATGACATAGTTTTGTAGGAGACCCCACATATACAGTTGCTTCAACCCCTCGGCGAATTCCTCTCACGCTCCAAAACCCGCCCCAAGCGGCGGTCTGCTCAGCGTGGCGATCAGCACCAAAGCACCTCCGGGAAGCCAACTGGCAAGCCCAAGGGCAAAGGCGTCCAGGAACCCCGACCATCTAAGGGTACTGTGGGTGACGAAATCCGCACCAGGACCACTTATAGATGAAACCCTATGGGATAACCCTCCTACTGGTGCAGGATTTCGTCAGTAGCTTCCAACCGTTCTTTCCAGCATCCTTGGACGCAGAGTCTGTTGACAAAAAAACATCAAAACATGGGAACCCCTGGGCTTCCGAAATTGAATGGGGAGTCAACCCCTAGAACTCAATTGACAGACGTGTTTGTCGTGAGTCAGGCATTCCATGAGCTGGCCATGCAACCTGTCTGCTCGCTTAAACACTGGTTGTAACCTTTGGTTCCAGGGGCCGAGGGTGGTTGTGAAAAAAACAAAGTTTTAAGTCAGCAACCCAAGGCTTGTGACCCACTTGTTTTGTGTACGGGCCAAAGACACAGGTCAGTTGGGCGGGGTCGGCTCCAAGAACGATCTCGGGTTTTGAGGTAGGGAAAAGTTCCACGCAACCATGTGCAAATAAGTACTTGAACCGTGGAACCGGGTGTTTGCGGGAAGCATGACGTCAACATGTCCAGCAAATCCGAACTCCCAAGCTTCCGTTTGGACAAACACGATTTTGTTGGCTATGGGCTATTTAGCACACGGGGCAAACCCTCCATTGGTGTCTTGGAGTCCCTTCATGTTCCCTCCAAGGGGGTACAAGTAGGGGATTCCCTTGGCCACAGCAAGTGGCAACAAAAGCACCAAAGTATCTACGTGGAGCGAACGGAAGAGCAAGGTGGCAAAGCACCCCAAAGCTACTGGTGGGCTTCACCGGTGCAATGCTAAATAAATCAGCACATCACAACGCAACGCAACACTGACATGCTCATGCAAAGCAGCCAGCGAAGCCAGGCAACCCAATGGACATGCACATAATTACCCGCCCAAACCGACCAGCTATACCAATACAACCACCAGCTTTGTGAGAAGACATCCAGCGTGATATTCGCAACCGGCAGAACCCGCAAAAACCTTCCCGAACTCTAGCCCAGACCTGCTTCGTACCACTCCGGAGCCTATCTGGGCAAAAAATCCGAAGCTTCCCGTTGTTTGGGGCAAAGAGGTGTGCTTCTGGTCGAGAGGCCAGCGGGGAACAGTTCGGCAAGGATGTAAGTGTGGGCGACTCGCCTCCAAAAAACAACATACTGCACAGTGCCAGGAAAAAGCGCACAAATCGACTGGTTTGCTGGTGACACTCCAAAACTGAGGACACATTCCTGTTCCCCTCTCTCGGCTGTGAAACTCGACCAAATGACACTCCATAACTCCGCGGTCGGAAAAAAGGATCGACACCTGGAAGGCTGAAAGGGGCCGTTCATCAACAACGTGCAGACTCCCAGTGTCCGTGGGAAAGAAAGAATCGTCCCCCTTTCTCTACGTACTTGATTTCAAAGGGACCCTATCTCCAAAACACGTTGCCCGAAAGCATGTAAAGAACTACAAGGGCCGCCGCACCTGTTTGTGGTTGGGAATTTCAGCTCAACTGAACAGCGCCCAAAACCCATTGACATGTGGCACTACATGGTTACAAAGATTTTAGTCTAGGCCCCACTATACTCAATAGAAACTGCTCAAATGGCCCTTTTGAGGTTTTCGGCACTGCTCAAGTTCGGTTTTGCCTCCGGTTTTCAGCCCGTTTCTCCCGGAGCCCCAAAAAGCCTATAGAGGAATTCACGAAAGGACCCTGATCTACTGAAAGGGGCATTGAATTTAGTTTGTTGTGAGTGGTGAGCAACCATGGGTTCTAACCCACTTGCCATGGTTAAATAAGTCTAAGCGGGTTATAACCAGGCTTAGTAACCACTTACTACAAGTACCTCAGCAGTATTCCGCACGAAAGGGACAATGCCATCACCATGAACTACGAAACACCAGGAAAAACATGAGTCCCGAAAAAACACGTTTTTTCCTGCCAGAAAAGGCTTTTTTCGAAGAAAAGCTGAAAACACAGAGGTTGTTTTTTTTTCCCAGGTTTTGGTGGCCTAAGGCGAAAAATCGATCTCCAGTCGCCCTCCGATTCCACCCGCGGAATTCTCCGCCTGCCACTGCCGACACCGCCGTCACCAGTCGCCACGGAACACGGCGCGGGCTGGCGCTGGGCGCAAGGCCCGCGCCTGAGATGCCGGAGGAAAGATATGTATATGTATGTGTATTTTTAGATATGTGCATATATATATATATAGGATGTGCAAAGATATGCATATAGTGTGTATGCATATATGTGCAAAGATATGTAAAGTATGTGTATATATATATACATGTACATATGTACATATGTATATATGTATGTGCATGTGTATATGTACCTATGTATATGTCTATGAACATATACATATATGTACATACATACTGCAGATGGACGAAATCCGTTTCGCACCACTTTGAAACCATGGGAAACTATTTGTTGTTGGTATTTACTAGGGTTTCTTAGGTGGTGCAGGATTTCGTCCATCCACAGTATGCACATACATATACATGCCAGCCCCCCCCCCCCCCAACAAAAAACACGTATCCAAAACAAAGCTGGGCATTGCTGAGGTACACATGTATATGTGTATGTACAAGTGTATATGTCCTATGTATATTTCTATGAGTTTGTATGTGTGTGGCGATGTAAATGTATATGTATACGCATATGTATACCCATGGTTTGTATATATACATGAGTGTATTTGTATGAGCATGTGTATATGTATGCGCATATGTATATGTATATGTACATCTATAGGCATATGTATGTGTACGTGTATGAATATATACATGTATATGTATATGTACACGCATGGGTATGTATATGTATGTATATGAATGTATGTATGTACTCAGTTGAATTTGTATCTGCACGTGTATGTATATATATGTATATATACATTTATAAATGTATGAATGCATGTATACATATGTATATATATATATATATATATGCAAACATGTAATATGCACACATGTATGTCTGCCTGTCCGTCTGTATGCGTGTGTATGTATGTATGTATGTATGTGTGTGTGTATGTATGTATGTATGTGTGTATGTATGTATGTATGTATGTATGTGTACTCCAGAACCTTTGAACAGCACACGCGGTACGGTGTGTCGTGCTGAGCTGCGTCAAAATGCGTCAATGTAATGACATGTAAAGAAGTGTACTGTGGTGTATAAACACTGTCACATGTATTACATGCATACACGCATATCCATAGCAACCAGCTGAGATAATTTCTACAGGACATTGGCCAACGCCCACCCAACACAAGGACAGTACAATGTTCATGTTTTGCTGGTTGTTAGAAATATCCAAGTCAACCCCGTTATGTTGTCCTATACGGATGTTTTTTTGAAGGAGACCCCCTTCCCGCAAACAACAAAATCCCTTGATATGAGCCGGGGGTGCTTTTGAGGTGTCAAAAGGGCATATGTTGAGGCCCCACCTTAGGGCAACAGTGAACGGATTAATGGATGCATACAAGCAGCAGCACTGCGGCATGGCTTGAATGGCTTGCCAAGCATCAGAGCTCCACAAGAAAAACCATCTTCATGTGTAAAGGCCTTGTGAGCACAAGATGCCTCGCGCCATGGGTTAAGCTTGGGGACCAACAGAACCACCACGTATCAGGTGTGCAGTCATAAATACGTGGTATAAAGCCCACACTTTCTCACTTTCTCACGACCTCATCCTGGCGCGGTGCTATTGCACGCGGCCGATCGACGGTATAAAACCAACATATATATATATATATGGTACAACCCCCGCAAAGATCTACCTTTTTGGGCTTTGGGGGTGCCATAACATGACCAAACCCACAAAAAATAAAGCTCTCAGGACTGTCCATCTGCTTCACCAAGCACGAACGAGAAAAAACAAAAAAACACAGAAAACCAGAAGACAATGGGGCATATCAAAAACAAGAAAAAACCTTGAGAAAACCAGAAAAACCAGAAAAAACAGAAGACCCAGAGACTATAGGACATATCCAGCTCAATAGTCTCCAGACCTTCTGGTTTTGTTGGTTTTCTCAAGTTTTTCTGGTTTCTAGACTTTGTACTATCCAGCTCACTAGTCTCCAGACCTTCTGGTTTTTCTGTTTTTCTGGTTTTCTCAAGGTTGTGTCTGGTTTTTGGCCTTTGTACGTGGCCCAATACAGCCTGCTCTGTATGATCAGCTCAAAGGTGTTCTGGAGCGCTACTGTGGCAAATCTCCTCCCGCACCAATGGCTGGCGAAAATCTCACCTTCGATCAGCTCAAGGAAGTCTGCGAGGGCTACATCTGTCGCAAAACTAAACCGACCCGTTTGTCTCTGCCAACCTCCCGCCTGGCAACTTCAATGTTGCAACTTTCGACAACGCAGCCTTGCACTTCTTCGATCTGGTGGAGCACAAAGAGGATATCAACGTTGCAGACTGTCCCATCTGCAGATGCTGCCCCCCCCATTTGGCTTGAAGGAGAAGGTAGGTGACGACACTCTCCTGCAGATGGTGATCACGCAGGGGCAGGACGGGCATCACTATATCCTCAAGCACTTCATGTTACCCGTGTTTGAGAAGATGGCCTATGGCAAATGCTTCCGCCCTCTGTGGATGAGCGGTGCTCAGTTTGCAAGAGTTGGCAAATATTCAATACTGCTTGTCCCAGATGGGAGGTGGGCAGCTCACCGTGTTCGAGCTCACCACCCATCATGAAGTGTGGGCCCGTTCCTCTGCGGAAATCAGGGCAAACAAAGGCACTCTTGCGGTTGTGAGCTGTTTCTTTGATGATTAGCCTGCGTAGCTCTGCTCGAACACTAGCATTCTGCCATCCTGTCATTGTCATGCCTTCCAAGTCCTCGCCCTTCCCTCCTGCAAAGAAAGGTGTGATGCGCATGATTCAGAAACGGCCGGCGGGGAAAATGACTTCCAAGTGGAACAAGGTGCCCTACGTGCGTGGACCGTGTCAGAAAGCTGTCCGCAGAGATCAAAGCAAATGGAAGCGATCTGTTCAAAGCCTTCTGAAAGCAATGACCTTGAGATCATCAACATGCTGACCAAAGATGGCTTGCTGCCTTGTTGGGAAGGCAAGACTTGCTCATTCAGCTCGTCTTGGTCCGCTGTAGCAAAGAGATAGTGGCCTTCATCGTTACCGGTGCCGAGGCAAAGGTTGCCAGAAGTTCGTGGCCCCGCAGCACCTCCACCCATTCTTTGCTGCCAGTCGTGGTCCGGAAGGCCAATCTTTGTAGGAGCCGTCCGCGGCGCTTCTCACGCATCTGACCCACTCCTCACCCATATCAACCACAAGGCCCTCGAGCGTTCGCGGCGGGCGCTCCACTTCGTCAGGAAGGGCTTCGTGGAGAACAAGGAGAAGACCGTATCCTTCGGTCAAGGCGCAAAGTGGCAAGATGTCAAAGCCGACGATGCCACGTTTGACAAGAGCTTCTCTCCATCAGGGGCAGATGAGAACAAGCCCATGGAGTGGGAGCAGTGGGCTGGGATCGTGAAGCGTGGGAAGCGCGAGTCCTTGCTTCTGGTTTGACTCCAGCCTGAGAAGTCAGCAGCCCGTGCAACTCGCAAAGTTGCATGGCAGCCAATTGCTCAGAAATGGCTGGCTAAGAAGAACGTCATCCTCCACACTGACAGTGCCCGCTCCTACAAGGCAAAGGTTCCTGGTGTCCTTCACGACTCCGTGATTCACCAAAAGAAGCGTGTCAAGGTCAAGGGCAAGTGGACGTGGAAGAACCCTGTCTTCGTGCAGCTCAAGAAGCATACCTTGCCAGGTGGGAAGAAGATCACTGTCAAGAGTGGCACGCAGGTGATCGACAGAGCATGGCGCTTCATCAAAGATCGTGTCCACTGCAACCATCACACCAAGACCGGCACAGCTTTGCTGAGGGCACAAATTCGATCTGCCGTGCTGGCACAGGGGGCAAGACATGTGGGCATGCACAGGAGCCCTCATGTCATGGTACATGCCCTTGCACCAAATAAATGTCATCTGGATGAGGCGCCACATCAAAAAGCGCAGCTGAGCGCATCTGCTGGCATCTTTCCTGCTGAACAATTACGAAAAGGTAGATCTTTTTTTTTGGGGGGGGGGGTCCTAGAATATATATATATATATACATATAATATATATATATATATAAGTTTGTATATGCCCTGAAGAGCAGCATATACCCCCCGTGCCTCTAACGCTTTCGACCCTCGACGCTTTCAGCCCCGGGCTTTCTTCCAGAGCTCTGAGTCGCTCATCCTCCCCATACATCACGTTGCCTCGGCGCCCACTTATGGTTTAGCTCTCATGGGTTTATTGGTACTGGGAGTATGGTATACATGGCCCAGATTATATACATGGCCCATATGGAGTATTTATCGGATTCCCTTTCGATTGGCCCATGGCTTTATGGCTACGCAAGAGACTTTCTCAAATTGCTGGCTTCCTTGCACTCACATGAATGGACATATTTCTGGGGCACGGGGTTTTGCAGCTCCCCAAACATTGCTTTGCGGGTTTCGGGGGGTGGTTGACAATTTTCATGGGACATGAGCGAAATAACCTGGATCCCGGGGTGCCATATCTGGGCTGTCCTCAAATCCCCTGCTAAAAGCTTCACAGCAGTTGCGAAAAAGAAAAAACAAAAAGAAAACAACTAAACAACTAAAAAGCTAAGGGGATGGCTGGGCTTGGCACCACGATCTCTGGCTCAGCACCAACCATGTCGCATGTATTGGCCCGGACGGGTCTGGCCAAGCGAATCTATGAGAGCTAAAACGCATCCAAAGACGTGAATCTGGGCAAGGAGAACTCCATGGGTGATCGCGGGATATAAACCAGCGAGAGATACGCCATCAACCCTAGCTTCTGAAAAGTGCTAGAAGAACAACTCTCTTGTAAACATGGTTCGGTCCAAATTCACGGGCAAAACCGCACATTTGAACACACAGAGCACTTCAGAACAAAACACCAAACAATCCATGAGGCAGTTCCTGCCAATCTGGCAGGATAAACCACGTGTGAGACCCTGTTCATTGCAAGGGACTCTTGCACACATCCCTGAAGAGTCTTCCGCATTCTTCCAGCAAAATGACTAGTAATACTAATCATGCCAACCCTTCGCGCCACTTTGAAATCATGGTTGAAACCATTGCGTGTTGGTATGTACTTTGGGGACTCAAATCATTCCGGGTTTCTTGAGGGTGTGCGAGGGATGTCGTCCATGCACAGTAGGTGTCAGTATCAGGCCACTTACAGCCGCCCAGCATGGGTGATGGCCCGAAGCGGTTGGTCTCCGTTTGGTTACAAACATAAAAGCACGTGACAAGGGAGGTTCCGGGGCATATCTGCGGGGAAAGGGCGCATTGTGGCAAGCATATTGATGAGCTTGTCCAGAAAAATGGGGGTTTCCCAAGTGATTGCTCTTCCTTTTAGCTTTGACGGGAGGTCCCCACAAGACACCTACTGCAATTATTCCCGCGGGCGAACCTCCAGAACAAGGTGGAACCCGACCGTCTCTCGTGTTTGGAGGAACCTCTGCAAAAGGATACGCCTTCTCCAATCTTGGAAGCTGACAATTGGCCTCAATCGGAGTCTCTGTGTTGGACGCCGAAAAGATTGTCGGAGGAGCCTTTGCTTCTTGATTCAGGAGGGCATGAGAAATGGAATGGCACCATGAACCATCCATCCTGTGGTTTCCTTTGCTCGGGAACCCCCAACAAAAGTTCATTCCCAACACCCGGGCTCGGTCATTCCCCACCTATCGCACCAACAAGATTACTTCCATCCTCAAAAACATCCCCGAGCCTGGGACCCCACGTCCCCCTATACATGCATTTGGTTTCCAGCTTTCACACAGAGGGCACATGAGTCATAAATCAAAGCCCGGTATTAAAATGGTCAATCCCAAGAATTCAGAAGGCGGATATCCGCAGCTATTTATAGTTGGGATTCTCCCTTACTAACCTTCATCTACCCGGGTTTTGATTGTGGCCTTTTCTGTAGGCTATTTTCGTAGGGGAACCCTCCCCCAAAAAAGAAAGGGTAAAAGGCCACTACTGGGGGACCTAGACACGCATTTGGTTTCCATTTTTCACATAGGGCACATCTTTGGCAAGCCTTGGAAGACCTTCTTAACCTCCCAGCGGCAGGAAGCTCCCCCAGGGGGGAAGGCCTACCGTGACTATCCTGAGCCTGAAGCTGCGCCAGAAATCAGAAGCCATGGCTTGCATTGGATCCAGGTTTTTTGGGGGATGCGTACATACATACATATAGATACAAATGCGTACATGTACATATGAATATATTATAGAAATTAGATCATAGATATTTACATGTATATTTAATATACACACTTATATATAAATTATACTAGTGCCTGCCTGGTAAAGGAGCTACATCTGGAAAACATGGCCTTCCCAAGGCCGTTCGCAAAGATGGGGGCAACACTTCCCAGGTACTTTTTTGAGGGTACCCCCTTTCGGGTTGGCTTCAAGATCTCCAAGAGGGAAGACCACCATTTGGGTCCCCCTATTGCGACACGTATAATGTTGACCTCGGATTCACTCTATTGGACAAATACATAGTGGTCGGGCGTTCCTGGCAGCTTCCGTTCGCGGTCCTCGAAACATACCGGGGACTTGTTGATTGATAGTCTGATAAACACCAACGTGCAACTTGCAACTTGCAACTTGCAACTTGCACGTGGCAACAAAAGTTCCCAAACCAAATCCTTCCATCCAGCCACCCACCTGCCCACACACCTGGAACTTGACTGGAGGTCCCTGCTAGATATTTTCCTCCAGAGCCCCCATATTTCCAGGTTAGCAGCGGGGTAGGCCTGTTTTATTGGTAGAATTTCCCTGTCCCCCCCCCCTCAAAAGAAGAAAATGCAATCGAACGAGTCTTTTCCAAAACCTTGGCCAAAATAACTACTCTCATTCCCAAACCGGAAGGACCCCCTAGTCAAGGACCTTACCATTTGACACGTGGGGATGCTCGTGTTTTGGCGTGCGTCCAAAGCTCCAAAACTTGCCTCTGCCGCCTCCCGCTGGACCACCGGTAGTTTCAGGCCAGCTGAAGCCGAGCATTCGCCTTCGCCTGGCGAACGTCGCCCCGGAGATCAGAGAGCCTTCGATACCGAAGGCTCCATGGCCAAATGGCCGTGGGTCAACACCAATGGTACCATTTTGGGGTAGGTGAATTCACCGCCCATTTTAGAGCCTATTTTAGTGGTTGGATTGGGTCCCGTTCACTGGGGGCTAACCGTTTTGGCTTTTGACCCATGGCCAAATCTCCATTTACCAAGGCTTGCCAAGCTTTCGTGATAGGATGCAATCAGCTTCCATGGTTGCTGGGTGGTTTGGAGCCCGGTGCTGTGGTTCAAATCCCCAAAATCAAAGGGGCACCTGAAATAAGGATAACTCCACACAGGGGACGGCGGGCTTTGAAATGATCGAGCCAAAAGGAGAATTGGTGCGCTGAAAAGAATGATCCCAAGTTCATGACAGACACGCTTGAGCACGACCAAAACAATCCCTTCGCGTACCAAGGACTGCGTAGTTCATTACTAAACTCATGAGTTCAGCTCAGAGTTGACGAAGCACGGACGGTGTCTTGGCTCGTTGAGTTTCATTACATCATCACTGTGCAACCCTTGGTATGGCAAACCCCTTTCTTTTCTGCAGCCCCCTACTAAAAATGAACAGACCCCCAAAAAACAAACACACACACACACACTAAAGCAAACACATGCTAACCACCGTGAAGACAAACTCCAGCTATTTGACCCACGAAAAGCCGCGGCTGGCTACCATCGTACGCGCCTGACTGGGCCGCTGCAAGTCCTAAGTCCGACATTCGGCTGGAGGCACTTAAGTCGAGGGGCTGCTTCTACCTAGAGTCTCCTTCTGATCCTTTAAAAATGGTTGGTCATTACCCTAAATAATGGGGTCATGGACCCATTCGCAAAGGGCGTTGAACTTAGAAGGTCGTGGGATGACCATCAGGGGAGAAATACATATGGGATCGCTTGAAAAACCTCCAAAAAAAATATGTCAACCTATAGGAGAACCATTGCTTGGAAAACCACAAAAACTAGTACATATTCCAACCACATGGGAAACGTTAACCATGGTCAAAACCGGGGCGGAAGGGAATGTCGATCAACCCCGAGTTCTCAAAATTGCTTTTGGGGGGTGGTTTCATCATTCAGCCACCATCTAGTGGTTTTTTTTTTGGTTTCCCTTTAAACACCACGAAGGGTGAATTGAGCATGTCCTACCAATGAAGCCAGCTTGCCTTGATTGAACATGTTGGGGAGTGGTTCCTGTTCGGTTCGACTCCTTTGAGCGTACTTCCTCTGAGTGCCAAAGGTCTGGAAAAAATATGGTTTGGTTTCTTAGGAGACTTAGACATGTGCTATTTTGGCTGTAAAGGACAGGGATCCTTACATTATACACCTGAACATTGCATTGTAAATGGTGGTTTCCCTTTATTTTGGTGGAAAAAGCCATGTTTCAAATGGGCAAAATGTATCTTTTAAGGAGCCCTGGGACACCCTGCGAACTCTCTCTCTCTCTCTCAGATGGGAAGCTCCCTGAACAGCAAACCGACCAACCAAAGGGCACATACAGTTCGTTCCCCTGAGTATGTTAGCAAAACACTTGTCTTGCAGCCCCCACACAAAATGAACAGAACCTAAACACGCAAAGTCGTGGGAGCTTTGATGTTCGTCTGGGGGGAGGGTATATATCTTCTCTATAGCGGCTTCCTGGACCCTCAAACTACCCATAAAAAGGGACCTCACCAGCCAGAATTGTGGGTTGCAACCGATGGACGCAATCCTGCACCATTTAAGAACCCCTGGGATGATGTTCTCCTGCAAATACCAACCAACAATGGTTTATCCCTTGCCGGTCATTTTTCACCCAGTATATATATATATATATACATATATATATAATATAGAAACAAAGATTCCCGCAATTATCATCACCATGGGTATATTTTCACCCGCCATGGGTATCATCACCCACTTTCCCTGCTCCAAAGTTGATTCTCATCGCTCCTCGGGTTCTGGGGCCCTGGCTCACGGCAATGAGCAAGAGAAGGCCGCTGCAGCCCATGGGTCAACCGCTGAAACGGGAACCGTCGCGGGCAGAAAGACTTGGTACACCCCTCCGGGCGATCAAACTTGTGTGCGCTTTTCTGTTCAGTGGGACTTTCAAGAAAACATCTGGGATCTGATTCAAAATCACTGACCCAGAGGGTCCCTTGGTACCTTCTAAGGAGGTACTGAACGACCCCTTTTTACCCCCCAAAAGCCAACCTCATAAAGTACTTGGATTTTTTGGGTGAGTAGCGGCCATGACTGTGGGCTCCCCATGCCCTTCTTAATCGGATCTGGGGAATTCTTCGTACACCGCTGCCAGAGCTATGGGGGCACGGCAAACGGAAAAACCAGTTTCCCAAGCCAGTCACCCCCAAAGTTGATCAATTTACTGGTGGCTCCCTTGAAACGATCGCCACGTTTGGAGGCTCCAGAAAAGGAAAATGGCGCTGAGCTGGCGCCGTCCATGAAAAAAACACCGAAATGAACGACATGGCTCGTAAGGACTTGATCCAAAAGCTCCCAAGACATGCTCCGGCGATCACTGGTGGTTCCGGACATGGCCAACGGATATAAAAATTCTCGGAAGTGCAGGGGACCAAGTGACCAACCTGGGGCAGTCCTTTTTGACGCCCTTGGCCCCTGTTTGATGTTTTAAAGGACTGTTGAAGGTGGTCCCGAACTAACAAGACACAACCACCTTTCGTGGGATATACAGGATACAAAGCAGGTAGATATTAGGGGCAGGTGCATCTTTCACCTTGTCGTGAGAGCCATTGCAGACAGTCACGGTTTCCTTCTAATCGTGGTAACCCTTGTACTGGTTGCCTAAGTTCCGGCGATGCTTGGCCCAAAAACTCAGGAAAACGGCTGTTTCCACCAGGGTATATGTCAAAATAGGGGGTCGCCACAAGTGGGCGGTTTTCTTTTGTTCCGTTTACCAAGGCGAAAGAGGATGCAACGATAAAAACTGTGACGCTGACATCCTGGTGAGTGCTTCTTTTGGGTGGTTCCATGGGGAAAAGGCATGGTCCATTTGCAAGCCCAAAACTGCTCAACCAAAATGTCAGTGGGCTCAAACCCTGCATGGATTATCCTCAAGTCTGACATGTTGTAAGAGGTCACTTTGCTTCCCACCCAAATCTCCCATCTCAATGTTTGCTGAACCTGACATGCTTCATGAGAAAAGAAGGACATGTTTCATGGATCCTTGCTGGCTTCCCGGCATCCACGAGGATTTGCAAATGGCATTATTCTTCTTTTTTGGGGGGGATGGGGGGGGGTAAATTTCGGCCCAAAAATCACCATGGGTAACTTCTCCCATTCAGTTGTGAAAGTAATCTTTCTTGACGGTTCCCTGATAATCATCCCATATAGACCTTTTGATCAACCCTCATTTTGGGGCACAAAAAAGAGGTGCCGGTCTTCAAGACATCGACACTGAGTCAAACAGCTTGAATTCAAGGCAACCTTTTTTGTTTCAAAAAAAATATGCGTTGCGGGGAACGCGCCGATCAGCAAATCAATTGCTGATGCCAAGACGACTTATGGGTGCCATTTTAACGAAGGGTGCCATTTTAACGAAGAACTCCCCCCCAAAAGAAAAAAAACAAACACACGATGGTTTTCCCTTTGGTTTTCCTTGGACACCACCAATAATGGGGTACCCGCAAAAAAGACACGCACACACACGCACACATGTCCAAATGCAAGATCTGCTTGCGTTCGAAAGAGCCACGGCACCTCCGTCCATCACTTCAAAACCTCTGCCAAACTGTTTCAGCAGGGCGGACCGCTGCTGAATGTTCAACAAGTCCCAAATTGGTTCGTGTGTGACAAACACCCACCTTCTTAATATGCGTTGCTTCTTGTTCAACCAACTCCCCACCCAGGGTCTGCTCCAATCTTTCCGAAACTCTGTGTGTCCGCCGTTCGCCACATGAGCGTCAGCCCGGCAAGGGAAAGTGGGAACGAGAGAGCGTCGAACGCGCATCAGTAGAAACTGCTGCCGCTGCTCCTCTTCTTGGTCTCCTGCTCGAATTTCGAGATATCCCCTAGGCCCCCTGGGCCATGGGGCTTGAGCGCCAAACCTCCATTGCTTTACATCAAGCTTCAGGGGATGGTTTGCCCTGTGTATCCTGTGTGATTCCCCAAAACGAGGCACGACATGCCACTGAGGGATCGTGAAGGGGCAGAACCCTACCTCGAGAATGAATTTCCCCACCAAATTACCAAAAGACAAATCGGTAGAACACCGCCAAAACCGAAAGCCCATAGGGCCCATACAGCCCATAGGGGTCATCAAAGACAGAAACACCGGTATTCTTGTGGAGGAAGTCGGTATCCATTGTGTCCGCCAACATTGTTTTGGCGTGTGGCCCAATGTCATTCCTTGACTGCCGTGCACCAGTGGATGACAACAAATATTGGTGTCTGAAAATACCAGACGCAAGGTGAGTGGAGTTCTTTGCTTTCCCTCTAAAATGACCCTGCAAAAAAGGCACCCAAGGGCATCCATAAACAAATAGACCCTATGAATGTCTGTCGCTTACATGACCATGGGTCAAAAGCCCGTACCTTCAGTGAACATCCCAATCCCCACTAAAATAGACTAAAATGGGTGGTGCACCTACCATTGCCACATCAAGAACCGCTGCCTTCTTCACCGCTTTGTTGAGCTCGGAGCGCTTCCACTTCTCCTTTCCGCTTGCGAACTCCTCGCGGATGGGACCAGGTAAGCAAGCGAGCATGGGATGGTCTCAACAACATCTCCAAACGCACAAATTCCAAAACCTGAAAATTTGGGCGTGTCTTTCTTGTAGGCCCCCCCCCCAAAAAAAAAGTGTTTCCCCTCAAAAAACAACTCCCCCCCCCAAAAAAAAAAGAAAGAGTGTCTCCTTTACTTGCCTTGCAAGCCAGCCCAAACAAGGCTGGAACCAACTCCAGAAAACGACAATGGGATCCGATCTGGAGGACTTGCTGTCGAAAGTCAATGGGCATGAGCTCTCAAACGGTGGCATTTTTTCGGGGACCCCCAAAAAATGCCTGAAAGTTCCCTGTAACCAAGGGTGGCCATACAGCTAAGTCCCAGACCAAAGTACCGTCTCTGAAGACACACCCCAAGAAATTCCTAGATTTTGGCGAGATGGCGGTGGACGTCAGGGAGCGCAGGCATACCATAAGAGAAGGCAGTTGGGTGTCGCAATCCCAAGCTTGAAGTCCTATCGATACATCGCTGGCGGAGGTCTTGGGACTCGGGCCAGAAAGAGCCCTCGCCCGGAGTTCAAGCACGCGAACCAGCAATCCATCTACTCTTTTGATAAACGGACGGAACCCCAGTTTTGGGGTCGGAGTCCATTTCCCATGAGTTTCGTCTGCGAATAGGTGGGTTCTTTGGGGCATTTAGTCTCGAAGCAGCCCAGGTCAGGTCGGAACGCGGAAAGGACGCCGAGATTTCGGGAATCCGAGCTTTGCCAAAAGGATGGACATAAAAGCGAATCTCTGGCACTCAACATGGATACAGGTGAAATACTGCCGCGTTTCATCGGAATACTCGCTTCAACTAAGCGAGGGAAGGTGCTGAACATTCTGGGTTAACATATGGCTGGTTGTCAAAATGTTGGCTCCCAGTTTTGTAGCGTAAATCGCCATTCCATGGGGGCCCGTATCATGCGGGCCATATGAACACGTAACCATTGCGGCGCAATACGTTTGACTAAGAAACGTGCAAATCACTGACAGGCGCACTAGCGCGGGCCTTTTCTTAAAGCTGCTGCTATAGGATATTTAAACACACAATAAATCCCAACGTTCTACACCACATCTTCAGCAAGTAGCAAAACGGAAATGCGTATATAGCTTTAATTGGCCTGACTACCAACTACAGCCAAGAAACATGAAAGTGGTTTTCTTGGGTATTGCCTCCAACCAGGCACATGCCCACGTGTTCAAGTTGGCAACTGCCTGCTAGCGCGGCGCTAGCGCGGAGCTAGCGCGGAGCTAGCGCGAAAAACTGCCCATGTTTTCTTATTTTTCGCAGGGTCACGTGTCGTAAGGTCCGATACAGATTTCGTGACAGGCGCAACGCTTTCGGAAGGGCAGGCATGGCAGGCGCGTCACTTTCGCAAAAAACACGTGCAGATCTCTTGGCAGACGCAGCACTTTCGCGTTGCGAGCAAGGAATGCCTCGAGCGCTGAGAACCACCGGACAGAAGGGCCATGCGTGCGCATCTCACGTGCCACGTCAACTAACGTTCCCGACCTAGCGCCGAGCTAGCGCGAAGCTAGCGCTGCCAGTGGGATTTGCATGATTTAGGTGGGGGCCCGCTTCATGTCGAAAAGGAAAAACAAGATGCAACAGGAATTATGAACATACTGTATATAGCTGCTTAGCCGGCCTTTTTGAACGGAAGCCATATGGAAGGACGCAATCCTGCGCTTGTTCTCATCTTTAAATCGGGTTTGCTCCATCGAAACTGGCGCGAAGTGGATTGCAGTCCATCTGTATCACAGCCAATCAGGGATGGCCAATCTTCAGGAAAAGGGCGGAGGGAGGGGCCAAAGCCTTGCGATCCAACGGATGGGCACGCAGACCATTTTTGGAGGGGACCCCACCTCCTTTTACTATGGGTTCTACGATCTGGGGTCATTACTTGACTCGAAACAAGTATCACTTCGGGGACTTGGGGGTAAGTGGCTACGGTAGTGTTAAGAGGATTCTACAAGGGCTTTCCTCCCCCCACCCGAAGTGTCGGTCAAAGAAACCCCAACCAGTCCTAGGTCCTCCAGTAGAGAGGATAGAATAAGGGAAATTAATTGCCTGTTTTTTTGCTGTAGTCCATTTCAGTAGAAAACCCCTCCCCCAAAAAGGAAACGGTAAAAGGGCACCAATTGCTGGGGGACCTGGAGTCAAGGTGGGCCACTTAACCCAAGGGGAAGACGCATCCTGCCCACTTCCCGCGGCCATCCGACCGCCGACGCGCGAAAACGACGCGCTCCTTGACGAACTTCCGCTGGGAGCCTCCGTACTCGGCCAGCTTCTTGGCCCAGCCGCCGTCCCCGCCGTCCCGCTTGTTCTGGCGATGGAAGAAAACGCGGCGGGAGACGCGGCAGAGGATTGGAGCTGGTTTTGGATTTGTTTTGTTGAGAGGGTGTTGGAGCTTGTTTTGGAGAGGGTTTTGGAGCTGGGTTTCGGGTTTTGGTGTGTGGTTTGGCACATCTTGTTGACGAACCCTCAAGATTTGGGTCAGGCTGTTTAAGGTTCATCAGTTCCGAGGTGTCAAGGTGCCTGGGGCCAAAGAGGCCACAAAACGCTAGAACGAAAAAGGTACACTCCCTCAGACTAACAGCCGGAAGCTCCCAGAAGGCCTCTGCTAATGGAAGTAGCCGTTGGATGACGTGCAACATCCGCCCGATCCCGGCTTCAGATCCCGGCGAAGAGGCTCGAAAGAGGCTCGCTGTGCCAGTCATTGACCCCGGATTGATGGGGGGGGCAGCATCAAAGTCACCCCCCTGTTTGGTAGTTTGAAGGGAACCCAACCAGCTTTCCGAATTTGATACCCCCTAGAAATGGGCGAACTCAGAAACCCAGCATTGCTATTCACCAAGTGGACACATCAATCTCAAGATAAACCCGGCCTCCTCAAAGACCAAGTGATTCGGAGAGGGCTGGTTCTTGTGGAGACGGTAGGAGTTCACCTGGCCGCCCGAAATCCGATCGGCAGCGGTTGATGTGTGTATCGTATCGTCCATCCCTCTGATTCTCAGCCGGGAATGCGTTGGAATGAACCCGAGAAAAACCGTCCCCTATCTTTTCCCGTAAGGGAATCCCCTCATTCCCAAAATTCTGGGGAATGTTCTCCTGAGCACCTGCAAGCCCCACATCCCATTCCTATGCATACGCATCTGTGCGATTGTTGTTTTGCGAGCACTCAGTGCTGTGATTCTATATGATGCCAACCCCTAAACTTCCTAGCCATATTCACACTGTCCAAAGGGGTCCGTACACTTTTATGTTGGTGGGAGTGCAACTTGAGACCCTCAGAAACCTTCCTTCTTGGGTGCTCTCGACTTGAAAAACCTGAGCCGCCCGATCTTTCTGCAAGCGGCTAAGCCGCTAAGCTGAAGGATGTTCATAGTAACATGGTCTGCCTATTTCAACATGGGTGTATTTTTTTTTAGGGTATCCCCCCCCCACAAGAAATGGTGGTGTTCTTGCGGTTTCCCTTCAAAACCACAAAAACAAAGGGTACCCTTAAAGACACACACACACACATTAAAATTGTCATCTACATAGAAGAAACAATGATTCACCAATGATCATTACGCTAGTGAACGATACAGTTTGAAGCAAATCCTAAACCGGGATGCCATGGGGGTGTTGGGTTGACCCGTTTGTTGGGAAAGATGATGTACCTGGTACCTCCCGTGCGGGACATAAATGGGCATCATCATGGTGAAAACTGGGCTGCTCTTCCCGTAAAACACTTTTAACCCGTAGGCTTCATGGAAAACAAGAAACTCTTCTCTGAACCCAGTGGGTCCCTTGGTACCTTCTGAGGAGGAACTTAGACCCTCTGGGTTAAGAGGTCTCTCCTTTTGGGCAATTTGGTCACAAGGCTGTTCCCAGATCCCCTGCGACATTGTAAGTTTAACTTGAGTGCGGATTTATTTTCGTTTATATTTTTTGTTTTTCGTCCGAGGCAGTAACATGTCGTATTTTACAGCATTTTCTCGCGAAATTGACGCATTTTACACAAGCCCGTCAACATCCCCAGCATCGTTTTCAACATCCCCCACATGTCCGACCAACATCCCTAGCATCACCAACACATCGAGGGCAGTTCAACCCCCCCCCCCATGATGTTGTTTGCAGAAGTGATGATTTGAATAGGGGGGCAATTAAATCTCTGCAAAGAGTCTAAAAAGAAGCGGGGGGGTTGGGGGGGGGGGGGGGGGGGGCTGCCGCCCCCCCCCCCCCCCCATGATCTTCGAAGAATTGATGGTTCAACTAGGGGTGCAATTAATTAAATCTCTGTAGAAAATCTAAAACGTAGCGGGGTTGGGGGGGGGGGCAGCCCCATGATGTCGGAAGAAGTGATGATTCAAGTAGGGGTGCAATGATTCAAGAAAGGGTGCGATAGAATTTAAAAGGGCTTCCCCTATAATGTTTGAAGAAGTACATACATACAGACATACATGGATTACACTGAATACCTAAAATGTTGTATTTTGCAGCATTTTCTCGCGAAATTGGACGCTCGAAAAGTGATGATTGAACTAGGGTGCAATTCAATCTCTGCAAGATAAATCCAAAAAGTAGCAGGGGGGAGGCGGCAGCCCCCCCCATGATGTTTGAAGAAGTGTTGATTCAAATAGGGGTGCAATTACTCTGCAAGCAATCTAAACAGTAGCGGGTGGGTTGCGGGGGGGGCTTCCCCCCCCATGATGATCGAAGAAGTGATGATTCAAATAGGGAGGAACTGGTGATGCTGATGATGCGGGAAGCCCCCTCCGTTTAACTTTCCGTGGGTTAAATACGGAAAGCCGACCACTAAACCAACTAGACACCATCTAACAACCTAACGCACTGGATGCCTGGGCTTACCAAGATCAACTGGCTGGAGATGCAGGGAATGAGACATGGCTCATGACGCCGAGAAAAACCATCCAACTGGCGCTTTCCTCCTGTCAGGGAATCCCAAAACACTTCATTCCCACATTTACATCTCGCACCAGCATCTCCCAACAGCCAACAGAAGCCAAGTTAACAGAAGTTCACACCGAGAGGTGGCCCTGAGCCTGTGAATGTACCCTCCCACCAAACGTGGGTTTGTGCACAAAGCCCCGAGGAAAGTCGTCTTTCTACAGGGGTCCGAAGGCACTTCCGCGGAAGCGTCGTGATGACAGCCAGCTTCGTGCCTTGGATGACATACGGATGGTGCCCATACGCTAGCACCACAGACCACACCACTCGGTCTCGGTGGGAGGGACCCCCTTTGTACCTCTCGCAGCCGCAAACTCGGGCGGAGTCACGCCTCTTCCTCTTCGTCCTCTTGCTCCAGTCCCCGGAAGTCCACTAGCTCCTGCGAGGGAAATCGGATTCTCGCATGATGCGCTATGGGCGGCCGTCTTGTTTTTGAGGGGTACGCGTTCTGGAGTGGTGTTAAAGGGAAGCCACGAGGAAACCAGCTTTGTTTTTAAGGAGGGGGGCAGAAAGAAAAAAACAAAACACACACCCATATATGGCTTTAGGTGGACTTCCATGAGGAAAGTGGACTTCTTGCTTGGCTCCGGAGGGATCATGCGTGGACAAATTGCAGCTGTGGTTGGCCTTTCAGCCCCTAGAAGAAAGCAGTTCACCACTGCAGGTCTGGTAAAGGGCTGAAAATGGACCCCGCCAGGTCGACCCGGCCCAACGCAGAACTAGTTGGGGCACGGTAAAAGGGGAGTGCGTGAAACATATTATACGGATTTCTGGGTGTGAATCTAAAGTCGGGATCCTGGACCCAACTTGGTTTGAACCCCAGGATCTTGTAGAGGGCAAATCGGAAGCCAGCCCCCCAACCTCAAAAAAACATAAGGTTGCTTTCTGCAAAGGGCACCTGTCACTTAGACTTGGCCACTCGGGACGCCGGGACTGAAAAAACTGGGGAAGCCGTTGGACGAGCAAAGCTTTGTCTGTCAGCTGCTGTTCTGATTTCTATCGCTTGAGCTACCCTCCTGGGCATCCAATATGAGCTTCACGGCGCGGCTCTTTGTGAGGATATCGTTCTTGTTTGCTTCTGAAGGGAAGCCAAAAGGAAAACCATCATTTTTTGAGAAGGTCAAAGAAGAGCGGAAAAATCATGTTTTCCGCTCTTCGTATCCCTCTTTTCCCACTCTTAGTCTCATTTTGCGCTCTTAGGTAGAACGCTCAGGGCCCCTGAAACAGGCGCGCGCTCCCTGGCCAACATGTTGGGTTGACGGGGGGGGGGTTGCCCGGACTTTGATGCTGCCCCGCGCAGCGTGTTCGCGGCTGTCGAGGGGGGGGAGGGAATAGAGGGGGGGATGGAAAGAACACGGCGTGTCGAGGCCAACCTGTGTTTCAAGCTAGTCGGTCCCGACCCCCCAGCCCCACACGCCATGTGACTTCTCTTCTCCGCTATCTGCGCGCTCTACGCGGCTGCGCAGTCCCATTTGCTTATCTGACACGCTAAGAGGGCTTGGGGCCTTCTTGCGTTTGAAGGAGTTACCTTCCCGAAACCTGGTCTTTGTCTCCGTTGGGCTTTCAGTACCGTGCAGGAACGGAAGTTCCGACAGCAAGTTATCAGCGCAGCTCATGACTTGTCTGCTTCGCATATACAAGGCAGCCCGGCCTGGACAGCTGCATGCAAGTGTTGGTGGCGTTCTGAAGGTCTCTCACTAAGAGAGTCAGGCCACAGTCCTGGAGCTTGCTTCAAGCAAATGAGAATGCTGCGCCTGCCAGCGCCGCGTATTCGAATCTGAGATTTGAATACGCGAAGTTGGACATTTCCAGACTTTCCTGTGATCCCACCGACGCCACGATTCGCTGCTATTCGCATAGCATTTGCACAATTCCCAACCCACCTCCAAGAGTGACCGTCATTCGGTCCGGGCAAACCCCCGCGGCAACCCAACATGATGTTTTGGTGTCTCCTCGGGCGTCATGCAGCGATTCTGCAGCATCCACCGTAGGAACCTTGCGAGCAACCCTTGTGCTTCCTAGAGACCCTCGCTTGGATGGTGTCTAGGCACCAATTCGATGAACCCGCAAATTCAGCAGCGCCACTAGGGGAGTGATCCATTTGGGGGGCACCTTGCTGTAGGAGACCCCCCCAAACAAAATTGTGGATTTCCTCTTTGTTTCTATTCAAATCCACACCAAACAAACACCCTCCGGAAATGACGAGCCACGAGTGTTCGGCGCTTGCAGACCCAAACCATTGTGGGGAATATCGCATTGTCCGCGGCGTGAAAAACCACCTCCACAAGCAGAACCACACAGCAAGACGACGCACTTAGCTGTTTGATCCGCAGGGTTATATCTTATGTGTGATTTTAGGGGACGCCCCTCAAAGGTGTTCCCCCTTAAAAACTACAAGACAACAGGCGCCACTGGAAAGCACATGGGGCTTGTCTCAACATAGGCTATGGACCCAGAAAACCGGAGGTTCCCCTTTGGCTTTCCTTGAGCACCCCAAGAAGGTTACGCTCAAAAAACATGCGAGGCTTTTAGGCAATTTTAGGGGTCAACATCAGTGACCTGCAAAACGCAGGTCAACATGAATATAGAAAGTGCAAACACATACCCATGTGACGCTTTTTTCTTGATCAAGTCTAAGTTTCGCCTGGAAGTGCCCGACCGTCTACCTGCTGTCATGCACATCCAAGCTGTCAACGCGCAGCCGCCCAAAATGTTTAGGGCAAAGCGGATTGCGTGCCGCAATGCCAATGCCGAGGGTGTCCACGTTGATGTCTTTAGTTCTTGATAGTTCTTGCCAAGGTGTTTGGCAGCTGGTAGGGGACGGCCCGGTTCTAGACACCCTCTGTAACAAATACGAACGTGAGTAGACCTGGACTGGAAGGTTAGTTGGGTGTTTCGCGCAAAAAGAAACCCTAACAATGGTTGTTCTTACTGTTGAATTCTCTTCAAACCAGCCAAACCCCGTGCCCTTCTCTTGCACACGGCAGCACCCATGGTCTGAAGCGAAGAGTTCTCTCTGCGCTGCCATGGCATTCTGCTCACCTCTTGCAACCGTATTGCGGAGGACAAGGTGGTCTGATAGCCAACCTCCCCCGCCCAGTCGAATGGCGTAGCGCAGAATATTTGGGCTGCCGCTGCTGCTGCTGCCGCTGCTGCGGTGGTCGGAGCAGCTTGCCTTGACCATGGTCACGACCCCTCGCCCTTCTGCTGCAGAGGGCAAAGCCCATGGTCTGGATCGAAGAGTGCCCCAACGATGGAAGAGCCACTGCAGCTGCGTGACCCACTGCAAGCAAGACCGAACCCAACTGAAACCAAAGGGGGAAGAACAAAACAGACCGAACGATCTACAGCTATTCAGCCACAGATCAACAACCAAGTTTCCCCCACCCTGAAACGATGGGCAATGGGCTCAGTACTTAACTTAAACATGTAAATGTGTACTCTTTTCAGTGTTTTGCTGGTGGGTCATTGAAGACTCCAGGTCCAAGGAAAATAGCATGGCTGTGAGTCTTACCAGCAAACGTCATGTCCACCACTTGAGTTTGGGGGTTCCCTACAAGAACTCGACTCATAGCAATATGGGTCCGTCTTCTTTTGCAGGCATCCTTGAACTGATTTACTAAGTGAAAGGATCTATTTTTGAGACAACCCCCCTTTCAACCGCTTAACTCCCCTGGAACCCAACAAATCCAGTAGTAATAGATTCCCTCAAACACCAACAGTGGGCTCTGCAACATATTCTCTCACTTCCTGAGTGGATGGGCAAAAAACAAGTCGGATTCTTCTACCACTACAATGGTCCAAACCCAAGTGACCAAAGTCCGAAACGGAGCTCAGGAAGTGAGTTCCTCAGCAACTGGACCGCCCCACTAAAAGCGAGCAGAACCAAAACAACAAAAACAAGCCTAACAACAGATCCCAACAACCGTGAAGTCCAGTAACTGGACCCGCCTTCGTCTCTCAGGCGGGCGGAAAAACACCCAAAAAAAGAAAAACCGACCGCGCGCATCTTCGGTGCGGGGTCGGAGGTCCAACTCCGGGCGCCAGGCTCGCCCTGGGCTTCAAGGGCACCTTCCTTCTTGAGGTGCTTGAACTCCACCTGCGTCCATTGCTGCAATCGACTCCCCTTCGGGGATAGAAGTCACAAAAATTCCAGCGGACTCCCGGTAAAACCCAGAAATAAAGCATGTGAAACGAAGATGAAAAGTAGTACACACCTGCTTGGAACTAAACATTTGGTAGCAGAACCATGCAAAGGCGGAATTCCGCACCCTGTTACTGTTGGGACTGGCCCTTGCTAACCTTCATCTACCCACGGTTGTGATTGTGACTCGCCTCACGAGTCCGACTCGGCCTGGTAAGGATGCTAAATACAATATCGTCCATTTGCTTAAGCCCAATGGGGAAACAGTATTTCCAGTAGATTGCCTTTAAACAAAATAAAATCAAGGATAAGAGCAACTAATATTTCCAGTAGTGATTGATTCCCTTCAAAATATTTCAAAATCAAGGGAGAATAAGAAGTCTTCGATTCAGCAAATGGAAATCATAGAGTGCTTTTCCTGTCAGGGAACCCACCATGACAGTCCAAAGAAAACAGAGTTTTGGCCGTCTGGCTCCAGGCGAAACAAAGGTTTTGGCAGCCAGTTCAAGCCCTGGCATTCATGTGTTGATCAAACGGTCCGGTGATGACCATGGGATGACCCCATTGGTTGGGAAAACCACAAGGATTTGATATGTCCAACTAAATCATTGACAAGTTACCCATGATTTGTTTTGGCGGCCAAAGGGAATATTGATCAACCATGTGCATAGCAGGGACTTGAGATGTCTTTGCCAAATTTAGATGACTCTGACGCGGGTGCTGAAAGGTGCATAGCAGCGCAGGTAGACTTCCACACGATTGGCTTGTGAGAAGGGAGACCACCATTTGTGAGGGGTGTCCAGTCTATGCTTCAGCAGTGATAACTGGGCATCCATGAACATCATAATGTTGACCCCATACTAATCAACCAACCATATTATGAATAGGGGGGCGGGGACTCCTCCGAAAGTGGTCTGACTCCAACTCTAAACCCGGAAATTGACACCCCCTATTCATTTTTGGAGGCTTGAAATTCATATGGGGCCAGGGCTGCCCTACGCTGATGGATGGAGCATCCTTCTTGGTGCGGGCTGTTGGCACCCCTTCACTTCCACAAGAATGGTCGGCTTTCCTTGGGCAAGCTTTGGCTGTTGTGCCCCCCCTTCTTTTGCAGCTTTGCTACGGCGAGTCTTAATTGGCAGCTCAGGCAGTTTCAAAAGCCGTTGCTGGTTGTCTGCCGGCAACCAGCAATGTGTAAGTGGCAGTGATTGCTCTATGCAAAGAGTTTACACCCCACCTTTAGTTTGCCACAGGTCTAGAGGTGCATCCGGGCCACTCGCAGAGCAAGATCGAAACAGAGAAAATGAGTTTTGATCATGGCACATATGGCACGCAATTGCGGGAACAGGTTGGCAACCCTGCATAGTGCCGCATTTTACCAGTATCTCAGTATGGTGGATGCGATGCAGTTGAACTGTTTGGGTCGGTTGCTTTCTAGTTTGGTATTCCGCAGCTCCAGCATACCCAGCTCAACATTCAACGTTTGCCTCGGACAGCGTCTTGTCTTCCGCAATCCCGAGTTGTTCAGTGACCCTATCGAAGAAAAGGACACCTTCAACACTTGGTATGGTGAACAAGAACAGAACCAAACAGACGCTTACAAAAACCCAACCTGGCGACAGTGATTAAGTCCCAGCGATCCCCTTAAATTGCTTACCGCTGGAATTGCTCACTTGATTTCTGGCTTCTTCTTCCCTTTGAGTACAAGCGCTGAAACCCCTGGATTGACAAAAACTTTGGCTCAATGGGACAACGGCTGTGGCGCAAGCCTTTGAGTACCATCAAACAATGACACCAACTCAAAAGGTCAACTCCCCTTGAACAAGTGAGGTTCCTAGACTGATTCCTTGGCTCGACAACGAAAGCCTCGAAGGTCACACACACACAAAGGTGTCCTTTTGGAAAAATAGATGGCCCTGGTAAATGGGGCATAAACTCATCTAAACCAGTGCCTTCTATTTTTAACCACACTAACCTAAGAAGGACACCTATGGTCACACATGTAATCAAATGCGCCCTTGGCTTGAGTAATCTCCCTTGCCTGATGTGGTTTTTGGAGAGCCCGGCTGTAGCCTTAAAATACAGATTCGCTTGACTCGCTTTTGTTTCAGGCTCGCAGCCCTTTCTTTGGTGGCTTTAAAAGGAAAGCACAATTTCAAGACAAAATGACCCCTAAATAAAAGACGGCAAATTAGTTTTCAACGTTCTGAGCTTCGTGACCTCGCGATGAGAGCCATTGCCTCATTCTAAGTTCAGGTCAAAATAGGAATCCTGCGATAGGAATCCTGCGGAATCCTGATTATGCGAGACATTCGTTTGGAAAACCGTGTCTCCTCTTTTGGACCCTTAAACATAGCTGGCTTCCTTGCGGATTTTCCGAGTGAAAGGAGCGGGGGTTCTCCATTCAGCTTCCACCGAGTTGCGGTGGAGCCGGTGGCCGGTGGTGTTCCGGGGGTTCCCATTTACCCTCGACAAGAGGGGTTGAAACCCCCCACCAATCCAAACCACCAACTAGAGGCAACTAGAGGTAACCTGATCTGTTGAGAGAAAAACCCATAATATCAACTATGTGTTGTTTGCGCCGGCGCCTTCATCACCCGCGTCTCTGGCGGTAGCCGATCTGCATCCAAAAGAAGCCGGTCCTTGCGGGGAGAAAAGGAAAGGTGTCCCTGCACCTCTCATTTGTCCCTGTTGCCGCTCATTGGATATCGTTTCCTCTTATTTGTCTTTGTTTCCTCTCCTTTTGGCACTGTGTCTTCTCATTGGTCCTTGTTTGCTCCCATTTGTCCCCGAATCCTATCATTGCTCCTTGCGTCCTCTCATTTGTCAGAGTTTCCTCTCTGTCACTGGTTCCTCTCATTGGTCAGTGTTTCCTCTCATGTGGCCTGTTTCCTCTCATTTCCCTGTTTCCGCTCATTTGTCATGATTTCCTCTCATGTGTCACTGTGTCCTCTCATTGGTCCTTGTTTCCTCTCATTTGTCCTTGTTTCCTTTCATGTGTGCTTGTTTCCTCTCATTTGTCCTTGTTTCCCTTCATTTGCCACTGTTTCCTCTCATTTGTCCTTGATTCCTCTCATGTCCTTGTTTCCTCTCATTTGTCATTGTGTCCTCTCATTTGTCGCCGGTTCCTCTCATTGCTCCTTGATTTCCTTTAACCAGAACTTGCATTTCAAACTGGGACTTGAATACTTACGAATTAACTGTCACACAGGGGTTACTTTCAAATATAATTGTTTGCACAACTCAGGATGCATGTTAAACATGATTTATTCAACAATTGTGGGACCTCTGAATTCTACTTAATATATGTATCATGATCTATGCTACTTCTAGCTAACATATAAACAGAATTGAATAAGGAAACGCTACCATCAAAACTTTTCTAAAAGTGGAATTAAAATCATAATTGATCTAATTCAAGTTAAGTTTCACTGAATTTTATTCTACATTATGATGGTCCTTCAACATCAGTAACACTTAAACACAATTTGTCCAACAATGTTGGGATCTCAGAGTTATTTCCCTATGAATTATATTTAATATATCTATCAAGTTCTGCTTAACTTCTAATTTAATGAAATTAGTAATAATTTTATCCGGAAAGAAACCAAGCAATTAAAACCATCTCTAGGTTTCTGCACTAGGGCTTGGATGTGAACTATGCACAAGTCCACTTGAACACGAACGCTCTTGCAAACAAGCCGGAAACGGGAACATACAACAAATGCAAACAAAGGGAGAAAACAAAAGTGATGCCCCCAAGTCAGGACAGCTGGCCTCGTCTTGCTTGTTTGGATTTCTCGGCTTGGTTCTCATACGCTTGCAACAAATGCAACAAACCTTGACAAAACAAGATGACCAAAACACACGCAAAACAAAAAGAAACCACGATGTTCCCCCCCCAAGGCAGGACAGCTGACATGGTCTTGGTTGTTTATTTTTTTCGAGATTTCGATGCAAAAAGCTCGAGAAAACAAACAAAGCAAGACTATGCCCCTTCCCCCCCAAGTCAGGACAGCTGACATAGTCTTGCATTCTGTTTGTTTAGGTTCTTGTTCTGTTTTCTCGAGTTGTCTGCTTTTTCCAGCCAACACCATCGCACAAACTGTACAACATAACACACTCTCACGACGCTTTGTTTTGTATTTGAAACCTCTGCCCACTGGCTTCGCCGTCTCTACTGGTATCTGACTTGTGAGGGGTCTGAACTGATTTCATTGCAAATACTAAATGACAAATGTCGGACCTTCAGGGTCGGGGCCATTTCCGTATCCCAGCAAACCAACTCAGCTAAAAATACAATCAGAAGGAACAGATGTTCCGGTGATCCAGCACCAGCTCGGGAAAAACTTGCAACACCGCCACGAAAGACGTGCTGAAAAGCGCTCTCTCCCACATGGCACAGACACTCAGTCCCTCAAAGTGGAAGCTCCAGGTATCTGTCGCAACGAAGGATACTTGGATGGTCTGGGACGAATCGCTAAATGGCGAGTAACCCTCAGGGGACTTACCATTGTACTTCACCGGGTTACAACCTGGCCATTTAGCGATTCCTCCCAGACCATCCAAGGGCTTCCCAAAGCAAGGCTTCAGGCCTCCTCATTGGACATGTCCACGATCACCGGCATGGGCAGCTTCTGAAGAGCGCCCTCGATCTCCTTTTGGGGGAGGGGGCGAGGGGGTGCCCTGCCGGTCTCAACAAAGCCACGCCTTGAAAGGGCGGGAAGGGGAAGCTCGGGAGGAATCCCCTACTGTGGATGGACGAAATCCATTTCGCACCACGTTGAAACCATGGTTGAAACCATGGTTTGTTGGTATTTGCAGGCGGATCATCATTCCAGAGTTTCTTGGGTGGTGCGAAATGGATTTCGTCCATCCACAGTATGGCACATCATCGCAGAGGGGTACCTCAGGAACTGCCAGGCCTCCGTTGCCGATCAAGCCAGCGGACATGTAGCTTCGGCTGGGACATTCCACTCGCAGACCTCGAAAGCAGCTTTCTGCTCAAGGGACCCTAAAACTATACTGAAAAGGACAGTGTTTACAGGGAAACCGAAAGGATATTTACCAGTTTTCGGGCTCGCCTGGATAGGAAACATCCACTGTTCAGCTTCGGAGAGAGAGCCTTCAAATCCCCCGACTGATCAAGATGGAGGCAAGTGTATTGAATTGGATTGAAGGCTTCAGGGGTTATCCCGAACCCATCCAAGGGTTGCCTATTTTGAAGAGAATCCGTCAGTTTCGGGGGCACCCAGTCCAGCCGCCGGGTTGACTGTTCCCAGGTCAACGGCAGGTGAAGAAGTTTCCAGGTGTTGATTCCCCATTCTTTCAAGAACCAGCCGTCTCTGAGGTTTCCAGAGGTTTTCTAGAAAGAAGGATCCCTGGAAAGAATGGGGAAGGCACCCCTAGAATGTTCACCGATCAGTGCCGGCTATAGCGTGCACCGCTGGCGAAGAGCTTGTGCCGATGGCAATGGAGTCAAGGATTCAAACGAGTCAGGGCATTGCCTGCCTCAGAATATTTAGCGCCCGTAGCCTTTGGCGCCTGTGGCCTACCAGGTTTGAGACTGCTGCACCACATACTCTGCGACATCCGCAATGTCATCATCACTGAGGCGTCCTCCAAATGCTGGCATGGCAGCTTTGCCATTGGTGACTTGTTTCACGATGTCACCTTGGCCTGACATGCCATTCGCCGCCAATCCACGCGAACTCAGTGTCTTATCAGGAAAACCACATTCTGCGCACCAGCATGGCAAGCGGCACAATTGGCGTTGAAGACCCGCTCTCCGGCTGCCCAATCACCCAGAGTTCGCTGCAGCAGCGCCTCGGTTTCATGAGCACCTCGCTCTGGAAGCAACGGGATCTTGTGGCTGGCGAGGAGGTCCTTCTTTTCCGCATCACTGATGCTGTGGGTAAAGCGCATTGCGGCATCATAGCATTTCTTCTCAGACTTTACCATTGCATGAAGCTCTGGGTGCTCTGCGAGCTTGTCCTCATGCAGTGTGGCTGCCTCAGTGCCACGGCTATCCTTCCAGTGCTCGTTGTTTGGGTGGCGATTGCTCTCATAGATCTCTTGCAACTCTGGATGGCTCTTCTCATCAATGGCTGCGAGGACATAATGCGCAGAAGATGCTTGTTCAACAGACCGTTTGACTCCCCATGCGCCGCAAGAAACTGCGGGCCAGGCACCAGCTGCTTCGCACGTGCCATGTCACGTGCTGACAGCACTCCTTCTGGCATGACTTGCAGCAAATTCACTCGATCTTGCAACTCCACATCCTCCTTCTTGCAAGACTTGTCCCCACATGTGACGTCTGCTGCTGCTGCCGCAGTCACTGTCCCTGCGATCAGGGCAAAGATGGCCATGCTGCGCACACGCTGGAGATTGTGTATGAAGCGGAGGTCCGAGCAGATAGGGTAACTTAAAGGCCGAGCTTGAGCAAGGAGGTTTCGATGCACCAAGTTAGTTCCAATGACAGAGGTGATGACTGAAATGACGCAACAGGCTGATGTCTGAAGCGGGAGAAAAAGAAAAAAAGGGCCCCGGACCGGAGATATCATGCTGGCATTTTGTGGGTTGGGTTTCGAACTTCCGGTAGAATTTCCCGCCAAGCTTTCTCAGAAAGGCATCTCTTTGCAGCACCATTTCAATCCAGGGAACGCATCGTCTTATCTTGGGCTTGGCCGCATGTGAAGGCCGACAATCCCAGCTGGCAAACCACTGCAACGAGGCTTCTAATTCGAAGAGGAAGGGAAACCAGAAGGGAAACCAGAAGGAAAACCAGCAGGAAACAGAAGGGAAGCAGAAATAAAACCTTCTTGGTGTGCTTGCGTGTCTGTGTCTGTGTCTGATTCCGTTCCACACAGTGCGCCCAGTTTTTCCGACGAACATCGAGCTTCGTTCGGAGTTCTGGTTATTGCTTGAGGGAGCAAATGGGGGAGCAATGGTAGCTTGAGCCTGCAACAAGTTAAACTTTTTGCAGTTAAGAGGACATATGAGGGACTCCAAAGAGTTAAAATCTAAAGATCCAACCCAATAGCGATAGCGGTAGCCACATGACCACGCCCTGCCGAAAGCCTCTGTCCTTTTCGATGGACTCCGCCCAATATTGCCGAAGCACGGAGCCCTGCCGGGACTTGGTCGTGGTTGCTCCCACCCACCGTGCCTGTTCGACCCCTGCTGGTTTGGGGTAGTTTGGGGCAGCGGGAGGCTTGGGGAAACCATGGGCTTTGGTACTTGATCTTACAGGGAACCTCCCTCCCAAAAACAATCAAGCAGGAAAACATCCCCAAAGACATGGTCCAAAGACCGCCAACAGCAAAGGCAAAGACATCCGCAGTCAACCCTGGTGGCGCTTTGGGGGCCAAAACTCGGATCCCTCAGACCATCTGTGGGACCGATTCTTGCTACTTGAGTTTTAAACCCCGAAGCCAAATGGGTGTTTTCTCGTCGTTGCTGGAGTTGGTGCCCCCCTTTTGGGTGGTTCTAAAGGGAAACCAAAACAGAAAGCCTCCAAAAATTATGTTGGGGGGTCTTGAAAAAAGAAGACTTGCCCAAATGAGCATACAACCGCAAAGACATCCCCCAAAGACGCCCTCAGTCAACCCTGGTGGAACATGACTTATCAGTTTGGCAGAGAAATATACGAACGAGCACCGCCAAAGAGATCGATATCCCCGGATCATGGCACTTTCAACGGGGTCCAAGTGAAGCCTCGGTGGCTTCATGGGTACACCAGCGTAGTTTCTCACTCCAAACCCCCAAACCTAAAAAAGAAGAGGCAAACTGCGGACCCTTCTGGGAAAGAGAGCATTAAGAGTCTGAAGGGTCTGAGAGAGCGTCATGCTTCAAAAATTAGGACCACGCCGAATTTCCTCTCAGTTCTCTCTAAGAAGCAATACAAGGCTTCATCCTCACACCCTGATATTGCCAGCATGGCTACCGAAAGTAGCTCGGCTGTGTCTGGCAACGCTTCTATGCTGGGTTTGTTGTTGACATGGAACAACGCAAGTTCGACTGGTTTTTACACACGTACTCCCCGCTTTTGTTGGTCTCGAACCTCAGCCAAAAATGCTGAGTGCCCTCCCCTGGCGCTTTGGCTCCTGCACCACGCTGTGCTCCTGATAGCTCCAAGCTATTCTAAACACACACACGCGCACACACGCGCACACACGCGCACACACGCGCACACACGCGCACACACGCGCACACACGCACACACCCACTCACACGCGCACACACGTGCACACACGCGCACACACGCGCACACACACACACACACACGCGCGCACACGCGCGTACACACGCGCGCGCGCACGCGCACACACGCGCACACACGCGCACACACGTGCACACACACGCGCGCACACACGCGCACACACGCTCGCGCACACACACGCGCGCACACACGCGCACACGCGCACACACGCGCACACACACACACGCGCACACACGCGCACACACACGCACATACGCGCACACACACGCGCACACACGCGCACACACGCGCACACACACGCGCACACACGCGGCGCACACACGCGCACACACGCGCACACACGCGCACACACACACACACATGCACACGCGCACACACGCGCACACACACGTGCGCACACACGCGCACACACGCGCACACACACGCGCACACACACGCGCACATACACACGCGCGCACACACACGCGCGCACACACGCGCACACACACACACACGCGCGCGCACACGCGCGCGCGCACACACGCACACACGCGCACACACACACACACGCGCTTATACACAGGCGCACACACACACGCGCACACACGCGCACACACACACCACGCACACACGCGCACACACACACACGTGCACACACGCGTGCACACTCGCGCGCACACGCGCACACACGCGAGCGCACAGGCGCACACACATGTGCACGCGCCACACACGCGCCACACACACACGCACAAACGCGCACGCGCACAAACACGAACACATGCACACACGCACACACACGCACACACGCACACACGCACACACGCATACACACACACACACACAACCGCACACACGCACCCGCGCACGCACGCACGCACGCACGCACACACACACACACACACACGCACACACACACACACACGCACACGCGCACCCACGTACGCACGCACGCACGCACGCATGCACGCACGCACGCACGCACACACACACACAAACACGCGCACACGCACACGCACACGCGCACGCACACCCACACGCACACGCACAAACACGCACACGCACACGCACACGCGCACGCACACGCAGACGCACTCGCACACGCACACGCACATGCACATGCGCACGCACACGCACAAGCACACGCACACGTACACGCACACGCACACGCACACGCGCACGCGCACGCACACGCACACGCACACGCACACGCACACGCACACGCACATGCACACGCACAAGCCAATGCGAACGCGCACGCGCACACGCGCATGCGAACGCGCACGCGCACACGCGGCACACGCGCACACGCGAGCATGCACACGCATGCACACGCATGCACACGCATGCACACGCATGCACACGCGCATGCACACGCATGCACACGCGCATGCACACGCATGCACACGCATGCACATGCGCATGCACACGCATGCACACGCGCATGCACACGCATGCACACGCGCATGCACACGCATGCGCACGCGCATGCACACGCATGCACACGCGCATGCACACTTATGCACACGCGCATGCACACGCGCATGCACACGCATGCACGCGCGCATGCACACGCATGCACGCGCGCATGCACACGCACGCACACGCGCATGCACGCATGCACACTCGCATGCACACGCATGCACACGCGCATGCACACGCATGCACACGCGCATGCACACGCATGCACACGCGCATGCACACGCACGCACACGCGCATGCACACGCACGCACACGCGCATGCACACGCGCATGCACACGCGCACACACACACACACACACGCACGCACACGCGCATGCACGCACGCACACGCGCATGCACACGCACGCACACGCGCACACACACGCATGCACACGCGCATGCACACGCATGCACACGCGCATGCACACGCGCACACACACACACACACGCATGCACACGCGCATGCACACGCGCGCGCACAAACGCGCACACGCGGATGCACACACACACACACACACACACACACGCGCGCGCACAAACGCGCACAAACGCGCACACACACACACGCACACTTGCAGCGATAGGTGGCATAAAGCCAAGGGACCTCCAGTGATTTGAGGGAACCTGCAGTAGATCCATGGGATGCACCAACGAACCAGACCGCACTCATCACGAGCCTACGGCTTCTGAAGGGCTCTGCTTTTCTACTCAACTCAGCCCGGGTTCTCCACTTCCCTCTTGATGGTTTGGAGCCAAAAGGTGGCTTGGTTAGGGCCCCACAGGAACCAGGGCTTCAACAAAATGAATCCAAACCACCAAATGGCTGACATCACAACTGGCTGGCTGCACTCAAAGAAAAACAACTAGAAATAAAGCAAGAAGTCAATAAGAAAGAAAAACAAGAAAGAAAGAAGGCGTCGCCAGTAAAATACATTGACACTTAAATAGGCCAACAATGATTTTCTGCTACCTCTGCAAGGGTTACCACCGGCTCGGCCAACCAATTTAAACATCCGATTTCAAAAGAGAGAATTCCTTTGCTTTTCTTGAAAGGCTTCTTTCAGCGGGGCTGCGGACATGTTTGCCCGGCCCACAGAATTCAATGTCGCCGCCGCACCTGACCTTTGGTGGATGTTGCAAACCTCAACAGGCAACATGGCGCCGAAGGTCGGAACTCACAAAAAACGCAACCGCCACCCATGCCCCAAGTGTACCCCCGTCTGTTCGAAGCCAGGGAACATGGAACTCACATAGCCATCATTGCCATAAGATAATCCTTTGGGGGACCCCACCTTTTGTGTTTTCAAAAAACAATCACGTATCAAATGCACCAGATCTAACAGCGCCCCCTCACCAGGATGAGGCACTATTTGCTCACAACAACCAGACAGTCACGGGGTTCTTACTTTTACAAATGTTTGAATCAGGGTGGGGCGAACGGCTTTTTGACATGCTTAAACCGCTATTGACTATCGTTTCAGCACGCTCATTTTCCTCCATTTGTCTAAGCCCCCTGGACAACATGAAACACATATTTCCAGCAGTGATCGATTCCCTTTAAGACTGGAATATATATATATATATGCATATATATATATAGTTGTATGTAATTGAAAAACCAACAAAAACACGCGTCTTTTTCAGCAACTGGAAGGTTGTAAGCTTGTACCAGAAACCCAAGGGTTACCCCCGCAGGTCTCGCCCCAAGCGCGTGGATCCCGGCGCGGACCAGCTATCCGCCGCTCGGATCGCAAGAAAGCGCGCCTTGGTCGTCTTCAGCTTGGTGCTGAGGCTCACGGGCAGGCTGAGCCTGTGGCTGGGGACCTTTGACTGTGGCCCCATGATTAGAGTTAGGCCCGGTGACATGAATGTGTATATTCTATTGTTTGCTTCACTTTGAGTCACTTGTAAAATGTAAAATGTACCCTAAGTCTACCCAGCCTCTTGTACATTCCCCTTGGAAACATGAACGCCTGAGAGGCCTGCTGATCTTCATACCCCTCTCCCCAAAAGGGGGAAAAAGCACCTTATGAAGTGTGTTGGAGACCAGGGAAGCCAAGGGGTATGAACAAGGGACTGGAAAGGTCCGAGCTTGGGGACTTTGGGGTCAACTGGACTCCCAAAGTAGAAGACATGGCTGTTATGACATGGGCGCGACTTCTTGAGTTAGACTTTCGCGTCATTCTTTTGATTGTTTCTAGGGCTTGTGAAAGTCAGAGAATGGGCATTGTTTCCCTTCAACCCACTCAGGGGACTTTGATTCTGGTAAAAGGAGCCCAGTTTCAGTTCGGAGTGTCGTGGACCTGCTGATTCGCGCCATTTCGCACCGGTCAGCTCGGGGAAACGGAGCCAGTGAACAAAAACCCCAAGGCCCAAAGCCACTCCTCTCCACCAGTGGGTCCCTTGGTACCTTCTGAGGAACTGAACGACCCCTTTTTACCCCCCTTTTAAGCCATTCTCATGAGGTACCAAGGGACCCTCTGGGAGAGAAACAAATCCAGCTCGACCGACACCTTACGAAAGGCAGAGCAAGCATGGAGTTCGTCTCCATTCGATAGGGAACCACCTCACAAGGTGGTTGGTGGTTGCCTGAAGTCTGATGTCCATTTCGGGTTCCTACTAATTCCGGTGCTTGTTCGTAACAGGGAAATCGACTCATTCCAGGGTTTCGGAACGGTGCGAAATGGACAGTTCGGGGGTTGGCCAAGGGTGTAGACCAAGGGCTTGGACCCAATCCAATTCAGATTCCAGCCGCAGCGATGGCTGTTACTCCATACTGTGGATGGACAAAATCCATTTCGCACCACTTTGAAACCATGGGAAACCATAACGTTCGTTGGTATTTACAGGAGAATCATCATTCTAGGGTTTCTTGGGTGGTGCAGGATTTCGTCCATCCACAGTTGGCGCCCTGTTCTCAAGCTGGATGCGGGGGCTTCCAGTTGGTTAAGACCCCCGGGAAAAAAAGCACACAATATGTCCAGTAGTGATAGATTCCTTTTAAAACCTACAAGGGGAAATACAAACATATTCTTGAGCAAATGGAAGGAGGTGTTTACCATTTTCGCCTGGAACGCTTACTGCATTTTGAGCACACCATCGGGAGAATGCCACAGGAACGCAGCAATTCCGCCTCTGGATCTGGTCGTAGGGCCGCAGCAGGCCGTACAAGCCTCGCGAAAAGGAACTTGTGATGCCAAACTATCAAGCAAATCGGGGGATTCCCAAATATGACTTTGTTGCTTTCCAGGGGTTCTCATATTACATTCTGGTCGCTACATGTTGGCTTCTAGGGTTTTAGCCTTGGCGGCAACCAAACATCCTCAATCACCATAAACTGTGAAACGCATCTTCTGTGAACAGAAAAACAAACAAGCATCTCCACCCAAAACACTCGAAAACCTCCATATACTTAAGTCCCCCGGGAGGAAAAAATAACACCAAACAAATCCAGCAGTGATAGATTCCCACTCAAACCAACAGGGGGAGCAAAATATCTTAAGCGAATGGAAGGAAAGGCGCTCTTTCGGAACCGGGAAGAGCCAATCAACAAAAGGCCATTTTATCGGCTTCGGTTTTCTTGCGGTTTGCCTTTAGACTTACCCCACTCTGACTACGGGCGGACAGGACGCACAGTCAACTATTGTTCTTGACACAGTGAAGCCGCACGGAGTCCCACGATCTGAGACATTGTTCGATTAGTCAACGTACTGGTATCAATGCAGCTTAGAGCAGCTGTTCCAGCAGGCGCAACTCGCCAATGACTAAGTCTGCCGCGTTTGTTGGCCCACATCAGGGCCACGCTAAAAAAAACAGGAACAGTTCTGATTCAGGCTGTGTTTCATATGCAGTCTGCCCTAAGTCAAAAAGTCGCCTTGGAGACCCCGGATTTTTCCCTCAACAAGTTCCCTCCTCTCCACCTCTCCAAAGCTTCCCAACCAAAGGCCTGAGAAGATCCGCACGTAGGAGTTGGCCCACTCCGCATCGTCCTGCCGAACAAACAGCCAAGGCCCAGTTGGCAGGTGTGTCAGGTGTGTCTCTCTACGCCACGGTGGATGCCCCGTACCCCGCAACCTGCACATCCACCATGGCATGATTAGAGTTAGGCCCAGTTGTAGAATGTGTACTTTGTGGTTTGCTCCAACTTGAGTCACTGGAAAATTATGAAAAATGTATCCTACGTCTAACCCACCATGGCCCAGCCACCAATCTCTGCATCCGCTGAGGCCGTGCTTTGCCGCACTCCAAGACGCTGGGCCGCCCAACTCGGCCGAGGGCGGCAAAAGGCGCCTTGGCCCTACGTGCCGGGTGAGTCCTACCGCCCGGGGCCGGGCGGCCTTTTCCGGGCCGGACGCCCAAATCGATCTTGCCGCTGCGCAAGTTTGTTTTTGTTTCTAGTGAACCTGCAGAAGCGTCCGGAGCTTCGTCGGGAAAAATATGGCTGACTCCCTAATTGCAAGTCAGCACAGAAACCGAACGTTCACTAATGGATTGCGGTCGGTTGATTCCCTACATATGCCCCAAATATGACAACTGTTTACAAGTTGCTGAACCCTTCCCTAGTCGCAATACGTAGGGAATCAAGCGCAGCTCCTCCAACAGAATGCTGGACGCAGGGCCGCGGACTTTGATTGACCTCCAAGAAGGTGGGAAACCAATCTGCACAAGGCCGGCGTAATAGATTCAAGGGCTTTTGTGGATCCACCCCTGTAGAATATTAAAAGAGTACTAACACTAACAAGGACCAAACAAACAAAAACTGTGAAATTCCACAAAAAAGCGCATCCAGACCATTCTCTAGAGTAGTCATGGGTGTGGGTAGAAATACACACACCTCGGGCTGGGGAATAAGGCGCGAACCCATCCAAACAAAAACTGAACCCAAGGGCTTCCCTTGTTCCCCTACTTGCAATGCTTGGGGCATCCGCCGCACCAACAAAAAAAGCACAAACACTTGGCAGCTATTGTCAAAATCGCGTTCCCCAAGAGGACTTGGAATCTGTTCAGAGAGCCTCCTGGTTGTTGTGAGAAACTTCGGGAGTCCCATGTGTCCCTCCCAAATCGACCACAGACTGCTGGACATGTTGACCAAACCTCATGTGGTTGTGTTGCTTCAAAAGCAGAAACCAACAGGAAACCAGGGTTCCCTTATTTTGCGACACACCCACATGGGCACTCATGATCTTGTTTTGTCGGAAGAGCAGCCAACAAAAACCATATGCAGAGGATATCAACACTGGTAAAATTACTTCCAATCATAGACGACACTCTATGATTTTGGATTCCATGCTTGTTTCCCTTGAAAAGACACTAACACGGGACTCATGTCAGTGGATGGACCGAAGATCTTAGCCCTGTAAACATCCTCTTCCACCCCATTGACTCTTGAAGTCCAGTTGGATGGGCTTTCGCTACCTGGACCCTCAAAGGACCCATTCTTCTGCCTTTGTACCACTGTTTTATGGGTCAGAGGCAGAAAAAAAGGGGAAAAGGGGTGCATTGGGGGTCCAGGAAGTTTGGCCTCTGTGTGGTTCGATTGTCTTCTGCCCGAGATTGACCCTTTCCTCACGCTGCACAAAGAGCCTGAAGGGGTTACAGGTTCCAGGTGATCCGTGCGGGCAGCTAACAGAATCTTAACTGTTGGCTAGATGGTGCGGTATCCATGGGACACAATTGAAGAAACAAAGACCCTGAACCCTGCAACCACCCATAAAACAAAGGGGGTTTCACCAACCAGAATGTTGGGGCAATAACCCAGTTTTTGAATGGCTAGTTTGAGGGTCCAGGACCTTCCTTTTGACTTCTTTGCGAGACATGGAACATGCCGTGCGAAATTCCCGGCCACCAAACTTACCGCCAGCAAGGTCGCTCCCAAAACAGGGGGTCCTAGGATGTTCGACTTGGGTGACAAGTAATGTCACCTTCAGAATCATCCAAATGGCCATACAAGTCTAACACAGCCCCTAAAACGACTTGATTCCGATTTCCCACGAAAACTTGAGTGATTAGCTAGTGCGACTAAATCCTGAAAAAAGCACGGTACAGATTGAAACTCTATTGCTGGGTTCCACAAAAATCACCCGGTTTTGTGAATTGCACTCCAAATTTAAGCCGTTCAAATCCCATATTTTACCCGTACATACCTGTACTAACCCCGTATGTTTCGTAACAGAAACCAAGTTTTCAATGTTAAACCCCATTCTTTGTTTGCACACCTTGCCTTTTTCAGGGTTCTGGTGCTCTTCAGGTAGTACGGTTTTCCGGATGTACTCCAAAACAAGTCCCCTCCTTTTTGGCTGAGCCTTTCAGGCTCCTCCGTCTCCAATTTGATTTCGCCTCGCCCTCGGTCCGTCCGAAGAAGAAACAAAAAACGCCGACTCCTGGAGTCTCCCTCTCACCCTTTAACCATATAGGTCCATGACCAAGCATTATTTAGGGTAATGACCAACCATGGTTGATTCGGGTCAGAAGGGGACTCAAGGGAGATTGAACAGGGGCCGTCAGGACTTGCTGCCTGGTTGCTTTGGGTAAATTACCCCAAATAATGGTTGGTCATGGACCTACTTTTAAAGAGCCATGGAGACTCCAGGAATCCACATGGACATTTCCACTTCTAATGACCAATTCCATTTTTGATTCGGGTCAGGAGACACACCCCGCCGACTCGCTCCTCGTCAAAGCTGGAGAGCGCTGAGGAGTTCCAGAGCGGGGTGTCGAACACCCCGCAGCACGGCACCGGCTCCTTCGCCTCCGCACGGCCGGGCGCACGGCCGCTCGATGTCGCGCGCATGGGGTTTCCGTTTGGTGTCATTTCCTTGGTACCTTCTAAGGAGGTACTGAACGACCCCTTTTTACATGTTTTTACCCCCCTTTTAAGCCATCCTCATGAGGTAATTGCTTGGACCCTCTGGGTTTGAAGACCATCCAAAAAAAGGCACCGAGCCTCAAAAAACATGAGAGACGCCCCCATTTGCACTTCTCAGATGCTGAACTCATGGGACCAAGCCAGTGGGAACGCCGGCTGGAGGTGTCGTTCGGGGCCGGGCGGCTGTCGCGCGCGTCGCGCGCCCCGAGAGGAACATGAGAATTCTTCGGCGGGCGAGTGGGAAGAAGCCGAGGCAGGAATGGTTTGCAGTTGCGATGCTGAAGTACCTCAGTCCTTTTTGCGACTTTGGTGGAATCGAGAGATCTGATATACCCGGGCTGCCCGTTTTCAGATCCCCCGATCTAAGTGTTTAACTTTTGGTGGGTTAAATGAAAACTACCACTAAACACTAGGCTAAAAAGCTCAGGAACCGGACGGCCGGGAGCCACCAAGATACTCTTGTGCAAATTCTGGCAGACACTGGCAGTTGCATTGCGAGACTTGGGCTTGAAAAATCCAACTTGGAACTGGTTAAGAAGCTTGCATTGAGGGAAACATCCGAAAACAACCAAGCAACCTGAGCTGTCAACTAAGCTATCCTTATGCCTATTATATATAGTTTGTCAACCCCTTGCTTAAATCACGACTAGTGTGTAGACAACGTCATGTCGGTTTCTTTTTGAAGCAACCCTAAAAGCGTCAAGACACGGGAAAACTCGGGCTTTTGCTTGCCCATATCAACTCTAATTGTTTAGGGTGTTGTCTTTTGGAGGCTGCCCTTTTCAGAGTTTAAGGACAGCCAAAGGAATAAACATATCCTTTTGGGGGGGCAGGATTCGAAACAAACCGCCTTGCCTCGAAATCCTTGAGGTACGCGGCATACTGCTTCGCCAAGGCATCATTGACATGCAGCTGCTTCTTGATATCCTCTTGCAGCGATGGTGGTTACTTTATTGAAATGAAACTACATTCCAACCCTTGCCAGCAAGAGAGAAAGATGAAACTGTTTGTTTAATCGTGCCAGCCTGTTTCATGGTTGGCCAATGTTGGCCCATGTCCAGCTCACAAGCGGCACTAGAAGCCCAGCGTGATCCGTCTAGCAAACTATGCCGTTAGAGGTTTGAGAGGAAGTATGCGACTGTTCACTCCAACACGTGCCACGTATGTGGGAAAGGCAAAGGGCTCCATTTTCTTTTTTGGACCCGGAACTTTTCTCGAGGCAAACAAAAGGCTCAGATGCCCAGTGGATTTCCATGGGAAAAAATAATCGGCATCCTTTTCTGGTTGCTTGAGTTTTACAGGAATCGGAATCCTCAAAAAAAAGTGAAAAAAGGGGGCCAAATCCACTGGCTGCAACTGGGAAATTTATTGCCTCCAGTGAGGTCGCTGTGATCTGCCTGGCATTCGCTGGCACACCCGCGCGTCACACGCTCGTGCGGATGGCGCTCTGCATCCCCTGCCGGTGTCCGCGAAGAGCTGTGGTAGAGATACGGGTCTAAAACACCCTTGTTTTATGGGTTTTAGAGAGTACCCTTTTTGGATGTGTGTTTCGGGTTGGAACGGAGCATCTAACATCATCTAAGTAAAAAAAAGAAGATGAACAACCAAAAGGCCAAGCGTAGTGGGAACCAACCCTCATTGTCCAAAACGACTAACGTCTGAAGATACAAAAGGCCGAGCTTAGTGGGACAAAGACATGTTCCAACAAGTTTAAGGTCTAAAGATCCAACTAGATGGGCGTGTCCATTTTGTTTAGGGGACCCCCAAAGTGGCTTCGGCTTCCCTCTTCCCTCTAAAACCCATAAAACAAGGGGATACCGTTCCAACCCAAAACACGAATCCAAACTGTTTTCTTCTTAAATACTTCTGTATTGGTTTTTAAGTGGACCACCCACCCACCCGCCCCACTAAACCAACCGAAAAACTAAAGCCACCTACGGAGACACGCTGGGAAAACACCCACAACCCTAAGGGAGCGGAAGGCTACCCGGAAAGAACCACAGCAGCACAAATTCCCTGCCGAGGAGCGGGCTTGTCCCAAAGGGGAACCTCTGGAATTTGTGGATGTCCTTATGCGTTCTTATTGGATTCCTTAAAATATGTTTGGTTGTCTTTCTCGCGTCCCTGAAAATTGGCGGTTTCCCCTTGTTTTCTTCTTTCTTTATTGGGGTTCCCTTAAAAAGAAATAAGTTGCCTCTTTTAATTTTTGGGTTGCCCTAAACAAAATCGGTGGTTTTCCTTTGGCTTCCCTGAAAAATCCTGGTTCTTGCTGGGTTTTTATTATTGGATTTCCCTAAACAAACGTCTGGTTTCTCTTTGGCTTCCCTTTTTAAGCCAGCCTGACCAAAACGCGGGGAGCACCTCCCACGCGGGACCGTGTTTGCCGTGAGCCCATGGCGTCCGTCGGTCCTTGGCCTCGAGGACGCTCAGCTCTTGCACCAGGGTCTGGGCTGACACGGTGACTCGGCCAGGAATATACCCAGAGATTCCCTTGGTACCTCATGAGGATGGCTTTTGGAGAGAAAAACGGGGTCTGAGTACCTCCCTAGAAGGTACTTGGACCCTCTGGGAATGAGCTGGAAGGGGATTCCCTTAAACGAGACCATACTGTAAATGGACGAAATCCACTTCGCACCACTTTGAAACCATGGTTGAAACCATGACGTTTGTTGGTATTTACAGGGACATTCTAGGGCTTCTTGGGTGGTGCGAAATGGATTTCGTCCATCCACAGTGTCCTTTTTTGGAAAACAGATGGTTTCTTCTGGTAGTTGATTGGACCATCGGGTAAACCAGCGCCCTCTATTTTTCGAGCAAATCAAAAAGGACTTACTTAGATGGTCTGGGACGAATTGCTACATGGCTACCTTTGACCTGGTTACAGGGGACTTACAACCTTTGCTTTGGTGGGTTACAACCAGGGCAAAGCCAGCCATTTAGCGATTCCTCCCAGACCATCCAAGTATCTTCGAACTGGACTTCACCTTCGGCTCCCAGATATGCGGGTTGATCAATATTCCGTTTAGGGCAGACAGGTTTGAACACGGGTAAAAATCGCCCATGTGGGAATTATAATCTGTTTAGTGGTTTTTCCAACCAATGGTCATCCCATGTTCATCGGACCTTTTGATCAACCTCCATAAGGAACATGAGGGGGGCCGTGCCATACTCTCAGATGCCCAGTGGATTTCCATGCGAAAAAAAGCGGCATCCTTTTTTGGTTGCTTGAGTTTAAAGGAATCGAAACCCTTCCAAAAAACAAACGGAAAAAAGGGCGCCACTGACAGTGGGTACTTGTATGTCCTGTCGGGTTGTGACGCTCAGGATGGACGCAAGCGCGCGGATTCACAGTGACAGGAGCTAGACTAGGTCCTCCAGTAGAGAGGTTAGAATAAGGGTACCCGGGTACCCTTTTTTCTGTAGTCTATTTTAGTAGGGGAACCCTCCCCCCAAAAAAGGATAAAAGGGCACTACTGGGGGACCTAGTAGACTTGGTTCTGATAGCAGCTGACTTTTCAATGAACTCCACCTGGGTTCTGCAGATGTCCAAAAGCATCACCCGTACACGAGCCCAAAGGGCGATGTACAGCACCTCACCTATTTCTTGATGGAACAGATGGCATCCTCCATGCGCAAGTTGCCATACACCAGACATGGAAACCCAAAGCTATGGTGCCAACCCCAGGTAGGGTAGACCTAGCCCATCTGGCGTGACAACCCATCCGAAGGCAAGGAAGCCTCCGTCGGACCCGGAGTCATCCAAAGGACACCAGTTGCCCTGTCACCTTTAGGGATTCTCCCTCCAAAAGAATCGGAAGGAATCAACCCAAAGGAGTCTGGAAAAAGCCACTCGCCCGATGTCCAACTTACTATGTCCACCCAACATAGCAAGGTATATAACCATACTCATAACCTACTTGAGTATGGATCAGGGGACTGCAGGTTTTGAAAGTGAGGGCAACCCAATATTTGGGTACCTACTGTGGATGGACATCCATTTCGCACCACAGCTCAGAAACCCTGGTTTCCGACGCATCCCCTGCAAATACCAACCAACAATAGTCTTACTTGCCCAAAGGACCTGGAAATAAAAGGTGAACCTTTTGGAACCATGAAATATATGGACCAAAACAGGAAAACCACAGCGGGTCATATCCGGTCGATTCGGTTTGAACAAGATAGTTTTGACCATGCTCATCACCCAGTTACCAAGTTGCTTTGACACCCAACTGGTGACGCCTCCAAAAGCGACCCGCTCTCCAACTGAATTCTGGGGTCATTACTTTGACGGTTTCTGGGGGTTATCAAAGACAGTAAATGGGGCTGTTTCCCTTTAACCCACCACTTAGGGGGTGACTTTGATCATGGTAGACTTCCGCGCGAGCAAAGCGGAAAAAGACCCGCCTTGGCCTTGGACAAGAGCTTCGGGCTGCTTCTCAGGGCCAAGTCCGTCACTGGCTTTGAGTGGAACCTGCCAGGGAGGCTCCTCACAGATTTGGCTTGTTGCTTTCCATTGGAATGGCGTTCCCCCCCCCCAAACTCTTTCAGGGGATCCCTTCGTGGAGTCTGGCTCCGCACATTTCTGCAACCTGCAAAAGGTAGACAAACTTTGTGGTTGGATTAATTCGCTGGGATCCTCTTCCCGAGTGGACGGAGGCCAAAAAAGTACCCAAACTGTTCTATGTACCACTCATATGGTCCAAACCAGAAAAGTTCAGCCTCCAACTCGGGAAAGTGCCTAGCAGCTTCTAATGAGTAGATTTCACATGAGTGGATGTTCACTCCCTAGAGGGTCCCTTGATACCTTCTAAGGAGGTACTGAACGACCCCTTTTTACGCCCCAAGAGCCATCCTCAGCAGATATCCAGGGATTTTCTGGGCTCCATAAGAAAAGGGGCCGACTCTGCACTTCCAGCTTGGCGTTTTCACGCATGGCTTGGTCTCAAGAAGTATCTTTCAACATGAGCCAACCCAAGAAAGGGATCTTGACCGGTTCAGTCCACCTACTTTTCACTCAAATCTTCAGTGACCCTGGGAAAAAAAGGGAACCAATTCCTTTTTGGGAAGGCCATTTTAGTGGGGCCACCAAAAAAAAGGAAAAATAATTGGGGCCACTGAACAACTGAGTTCAAGAATAAAACCATTGATGGGGAAGGGGAAACCACCGCTTGGAACCGAAATGAAACTTGATGTCATTTGAGCATCCTCGACCTTTGGTTTTACCAGCAGGGTTTATGCAGGCTCCTATACTATAAGCCAGGCAATACCAGACGTAGTAGAACCGCCTACACTTTGGTGAAAGCAGATGGCACAAACTCCCGCATGCGGGTTTCATCTCCCAAGATTTGCCCACCTACCATGTCCCCAATCAGAACTCCGATCGGCATCCGCTCCTTCTTGTTAGAGGCGAACTTGGATATAACGGTCTCATTCCAACCACCGGCTACATCTTGGGACGCAACAGTTTGGTGCTTTCCCTTTGATTGTCCTGGACACCAACCCCACAATGACACCAACAAACATAAACCCGCATCATCTTTCATGGGGGCTCGGGGGCAGGGAGGGGGCCCCAAATAAGGCCATATTAGGGGCTTCAGGGTTTATTTGGGCTCCCCCTCCCTGCCCCCCAGCCCCCATGAATCTTGGGACAGAATCAACCCTTTTCGCAACCCCAAACGTGAGTCGAGCCGATGAGTCGCCTGGCAGCCGCGGAGAGCACCACCAGCATGGCGAAGTCAAGCACAAAATCGCCCGGTGCGCGGGGCTTCTGCTCGTTGCTTTTTGTGTGGCCGAGGGTGCCGTTGCCAGCTGAAGCTTAAATGGCCATGGGTCAAAATCCCGTAATCTCAGTGCCCAAAATGGGATCCTATAGTGGTTTTGACCAGCCAAACAGGCTGCTGGAAACCAAGTTATTCCGTTCCTTTTCCACAACATGAATCTCTCCCTGCCGGTTTCCTGAAAGGGCCGGGTTGCCATGTATACTCTGCCGCTGCAAATTTTCGCGGCCCCTTTTAAGGGTCTGGCCATTTCATGGCAATGGCTTCCTTTGAGCGTGACTCGAAATGGAACCAAGTGAAGCTTACTTCTTTGAACATGGCCGGCAAGGCACAGTATTTCCATGGTATTCCACAGCACTTCAGGCTACTTCTGGATATTTCATGGTATTCCACAGTGCTTCAGGCTTCAGGGTATTTCATGGCCTGGCATTCCAGAGGATCTCTTTGATTCAAGAAGAACGTGCCCCGAAGTTGGGTGTGGCCGCTGGTCGAGAGCCAAGCTGCAATACGCCCGGAGCAGAGAAGCGAAATGGCCGAAGGGAAACCCTAACGCTTGCTCTCACAAACATGCTTCTTGTGGTTTCAACATCCCCGCCTTTCTGATTGCTTAAGTCCTGAGAGGTACGGAGCCGGTCACAACAAAAAATCGTCTTCACGCGTGTAAAGTCAAGAGAAACTCCGGCAAGCCATTTTTGTTTGCCAGGTTCCGCTCTTTGGCTCTGATTTCCAGAGCGACTCTGCCTTGGTCTTCAAGGAGAGGCGGTTTCATTCGGAATGGCCGAGTCTGAACGTCGGCACGAGGGGGTTGGCGAAACACGGCGAAACAACCCCCTCAATTGGGGGAACTGTCAAAATCAAGCGGCCTTTGGTTTTGCAGGCTGGATGGCCACACTTAAAGGGGCAGGGTACTTAGTAAGCGCTTAGTAACCTTATAACTTATATAACCTATACTTAGAAGACTCATAACCATGGTAAGTGGGTTGTGACAATGGCTACTAACCACTTGCGAAGTACCCTGCCCCTTTACGTATCTATCTCAAGTCGGCCCCAAAAGTGCTGAGGAAACAACGCTTCTGACGCTTCGCCTCCAGCATTTCGTCAACCCCAATACACAGCGAGTTGACTGGGATCTTCGCCAGATGAGGCGTCTCGGGGCCAACATGCGGCGCTTTTGGCGCTTCCCGGATCTCCGCACGTCGTGCGAAACCGGTCCCAAGGGCCACTTGTCACATCCCAAAGTATCGAGGTGATGGGATCCAGGTGCCATCAAACCCCCGCGAAGTGCTCGGAAGCCCGTTGCCAATCAAGGGCCGAAACCACAAAAACGGGTCCATTATGTTTTGTGTTTTGAGCGTACCGCTTTTTTGAGAACAAGCATTTGATGTTTAAGAGCAGGGAAATCTAGGGCAGCTTCGCCACCGATCGGCGGAGCTCAGATCTCTATACACCGGCACAAAACGCAACGGAACTGAATGAACCCAATGGTTGATGTCAAGATACATGGGCCATGGGGTTGTGTGGACTCCAATCTGAACGTACACCAGCTCACATGTCAGAATATGTTGGAAAAAACCTCGCGGTTTGCTACGTCTTTTTGTGAGGTACGAACAATACTCTTGCCGTAAGATTGGGTGAGATCCACCCCATTTGTGCGAAACTTGGCTGGGTGAGTCATGTCCTCCCCAAAGGACTTCCAACAAATGTTTGTCAACTCGTTGGAGCCATGATCAAATCGGGTATCATGAACTACAAGATCGGCCATACCGGTTCGTGGCTGGGACTGTCCTACCTGGACCTTTGTCCTCCTGAGAAAAAAAACAAGTAGTTTCCGCTTTTGACTGGATATTCGGGAAATCGTGGCACTTTTTGCCGCAAAAGCCCGAAACTCCTAAAACTCCTAAAAAGCTAAGTTTCAATCCAGGTTGTCGCCCAGTTGGTTCAAGACAAACAATGGTAAACCAGCGGCCGTCAGAAATCTCACCCAGAGGGTCCCTTGGTACCTTCTAAGGAGGTACTGAATGACCCCTTTTTACCCCCCAAAAGCCATCCTCATGCAGTACTTGGACCCTCTGGGTCAGAAATTTCCCCACTTTCCCAGTGACTCCCATTTCAACAAGCCGTCCACACATGTGGGCCAGACTTAGATCTGCCAAAAGTCACATGCTTCTTGCTTGAATGGGAAACACTTGGAGAACCGCAAAAGCAAGGGTCCTTCATTGTGGGTGCAACTTCTATTTTACCAGGCAGGTGAGCGAGCTCTTTGTACATTGCAGCCAGATTGGGGGAACCACCGGCCACTTGGCAACTTGTGCAAACGAGACCCGGTTGCGCAAGTTAGTTCGCGAGTCGCTCGAAAGCCTCTCTCACATGTCGATGCGCTGCCTAGCGACCGAATTCGTAGTGGATTAACAAATGGAATGCAAGGCAATCCATGAAAACGAAAGTGAAACGATGGCTTGTAGTTTGTGTTTCCTGTTCCGCCCTGCCTATGACAAATGACTGATTTCCTAGCTTTTGACTTTCCTTTTAAACCAATCCGAACAAGCGCGCCCAAGTGTTTCTTGCGGTTGGCGCAAGTCTGCCCTGTCACACGCTCAGCAAGTGACTCGGGAATCATATGTTTGGACTGGAGACCTAGAAAACGATGCAACGAAGCTGTGTTGCCACATATAGGTATGGGTCAAAATTAAGCCACCATATTATACATTGGATTGCAGGTGTTATTGCATTTGTTCTCTTACCAGGGCAGCCCGTTTTGGGGTTCCCTAATTTTAACCCGTTGCCAAGTTTTTAAAGCAGAAGCAGCTGAACCACCCGCGAGCAGAGGATCAGCTTGCTTCACCTACGTCGAATTGCATGTGGGGGTTGTTCAAAATAAAAGTTCCTGGAAACGGCCCTTTCGCCGGCCTTTCGCGGTCCTTTCGCGGCCCCATGTTTTCCTTTCGCGGTGACAAACCAGTCCTACCATGTATTCGTTATGTTTCAAGTCCTTTTGCGTTCCTTTCGCCGGCCTTTCGCGATGCAGTGTTTTCCTTTCGCACTAGACCTTCAGAACCTCCCTTTACTTAATTTTAAGACTGGCAATTTAGAACGACTGGATATCTATACGAACCGCTTGCTTCGAATGTCCAAACAAATGGCTGATTTGCGATCAGAAATGGTTCAAACCCATAAGCTGGCACTTGTCGTCGCATGCCTTGCCTCCTACCAACGCATGAAGGATGCTGAGCTGGCAACAAGCTGGCGACATCCACCGGTTCAGTGCGGAACTCTACGCCGACTTACCGACTTACCAACTTTCAACATGTAGTTGTACTGTCAGAATCCATTTGCTTAGGACCATTTAGGACCCCTGTGAAAACAAATGCATATTTCCAGTAGAGATAGATTCCCCTTAAAATCGCCAGAGAAAATAACGCGTATGTTTAAGCAAATGCCCGAGCAGCGGATTCGCCACCCTCGGACCCTATTTTGACACAGACCCATTTGCCACCAACATATCTGAGAACGGCTCCCTGTTCTACCTCAAACCTCAAGGGAAGCACTCATGGATGAATCATTCAAAGGAACACCATGAAAGGAAGGAGATATGAAAATCAACTCAATATATGCATATACAGACACACACACACACACTACAATATATATATATACTTTATGATTATAATATATATATATATATATATATATGAATACATAATACACATATATATATAGTATACATACTCTGTGTATCAAATATATCATTTTTTGTGCCCTCACCCTCGACCTGGGTCCCTTGGCGCCTGGGGTGCGCCGACGCCAGCTTCGAGCTCGTGGAGAAGGACGCCGCCTCCGCGGCGGTGCGCAGCAGCCGGCAGCCGGGCATCGGCGCCTGGGAGGGGGGGTGGTGATGGTGGGGGGGTGGGGGATGGGGATGGGGGATGGGAATGGGGAGTGGGGATGGGAATTCGGGATGGGGGTGCTTGGAAGGGGAGCAAAAAAATTGAAGTTTTAGCAGCTAAGTGGAGATTTCAACCAATCAACCACAAGAAACAAAAGCAACATGTTTCCCAAGCTTTAGGGGTACCTGCAGTCTCCATGACTCTTTAAAAACGGGATCATGACCCCTTTATTTTGGGGTCATGACCCCATTTCTAAGGGTCATGGAGACTCCAGGTGCGTACCCGTACCCCAACAAAAGCAACCACAACTTCATTGATCGCAGATGGTAAATATTGACCCCTATCATCACCCCCAGTTTATTAATATTGGGTTGTTCCCCTCCAAAAGTGATGATTCCCCACTAAACCCAGTGACTAAACTGGGGCTGATTCATATGGGGTCAACAGTACTATCTCACTTCCGATCGAGTGGACTGAACAAGAAAAGGAACCAAACTATTTGTTTGCCACAAAAATGGTACAAACCCAAAAAGTGACTAAAGTCCGTGAGCTCAGGAAGTGAGGTATGGGGTCAAAGGGTTCTTCGTGTGCGGTTGTCTTTTTTGGGAGGGTACCCTTTTTGAAGGGGACCAAATGGAAACCAGCGATTTTCTGGGGGTCCCTAAAAAGAGACACGCCCATTGGGACGTCTTTGTTTGGAGGGTTCCGTTTGGTTTGAAAGGGGCTCGAATGGGAAAAGCACCCAAAACGATGCGTCCCCCGCTTCCATGAGTGTCTTAGTGTCAGAAACTCAACCACTTGGAACTTTTCCTTTTAACGGGAAACCACATGAAAATCCGATCCATTTAGAGACGCACCCATTCAAGGTTCAACTATTGTTCAAACGAAATCCATTTTCTTGGGCTCCTCGTCACCACAAACCTACCTGGAGTCTCCCTCTGACCCGAATCAAAATAGGTCCATGACCAGCCATTATTTAGGGTAACGACCAACCATTTTTGATGCGGGTCGGAAGGAGACTCTAGGTAGAGAAAAGCAAAGCTGTTTGTTTCTCACAGGGCACCCATTGCATAACCCAAGGTAACAGGGATCCTTACATTATACACCTGAACATTGCAACTTGTAAATGGTGGTGTCCCCTTATTTTGATGTTGAAAAAGCCATGTTTCAAATGGAAAGGCAAAATGGAGATCTTTTAAGGAGCCCCGGTAAGGATCAAGGATTGCCTCTGCACGGGCCCAAGGAAATCAATCCCCGAAGATTGGGCCGAACTGGTCCGGGATGAATCTCTGGCGAAGCGGATTCGTCGAAAGACGCGAGGGACGAAACCCATCAAGGCAGGGAGCGAAACCTAACTCAGGAGGCAAGCTGGCTGCAAATTCGAAGAAGCGAGCAGGAAAAACAAGCTTTCTTGTTGGCAAGGCTCCTCAGCAAAAGCAAACTCTGAATTGGCAAACAGGGACATGTTGCTTGAACCAAAACCAACCTCACCTGACCTAGGGCACAATGTTGAGTACCATAAACTGGACAAAAACCAGAACGCCGGACCCCCGAATGCCAATTTCTCCCCTGAAAAAAACAACAACTGCAAACACAAACTTACACGGCTTCGGCCACTCATCGGGTTTTCCGGCACCTGCAACGGCTTCGGCGTCCTCCGCCCCCGCCCCCGCCCCCGCCAAGCCCCCGCATCCCCCCGCCTCCGCGAGGGCGCCGACACGGAGCACGTTCACCTCCGCCAGCTCGCGCTGGGTCCCCTGGAGCGGCAACAGCAGCGGCCTCGCCGATCCATCGGAGCGATGCAGCGAGCGAGCGGCGATGGGAGCGGGGAAAACCACCGACGAGCGATGCCCAGCTGCGGATACCGTCCCCGGGAAAACTTGGGGAAAAAAACATGACATATACTTCCAGTGATAGATTCCCTTTTAAACCAATAGGGGAAATTGACATGTTCAGCCAACTTAGCTAGGTTATAACGGTAACCATGGTTATAAGGGGACCAACCCCAATTACTCAAGATACAACCATGGCTGTAACCTGCTTGCTAGGTTGGTTGGACATCCAAGTAGATGTTGCAAGGCAAGGCCGGTGGTTTATAGTGTGTGGATCAACCCTGGTGATGTATCGTTGGGCTTGCAATATTTAGAGAATCCACCCACTCTTAGGGCACCTTTTTCTGGCTTGTAATCAACCCAGTTTCAAAACCTTGGGCCGAACACCCTGATTGGGAGCGAGTTAAACCTATTGGTTCATTCCCAAGATGGAACCCGCTGAAGTGATGGGTCCCAAAAATCAGGGAGTGTCCAAAGTTGAAATGCGATGCCAATGAACGGTTGCAAGGGTCCACGATGCTAAGGTCCCAATGTGCTATATGGGGTTATGTCTGTTTCTGAGGGTACCCCTTTTGGTGGGGTCAAATGCAAACTAACAGGAAAACCACCTATATACTCTATCGACGATTTGCCGGATTTAAACCAACACCAATGGTCACCGAATAACTCCTAGCAAGGACCTTTTGATCAATTATCATATTACCACTGCGGGTGTTAAGATGAGCGTGGTTGAACCATATGTTTAAGAAGGGGTTTGAACACACTGGCAATTCCATGGCCGCAAGTGGGCGAAACGGCTAGCAGAACCTTGATAAGGTCGGAACCCCCCACTAAGTGGCGTGACTGTAACTTGCCAAGAATTAGTATAGAGGAACCTCCTTGTCTGGTACTGTTTGGATCGAAAACAATGAACAAATGCTACGGTTGGATCAACCCCTTGTTCGAACAGCTCCCTCGTGGCTTCCCTTTACTTGGTGCAAATGTGGGCTACATAATTTTAACATGTGGTAGTTCACAGCCCAGCCCATATTGACCCATATAAAATATGACGTAGTTTTGTCATGGTCCCAACCTTTGTTGGGACCTCGAAATGACCCTTCAAAGAAACACCCTTGCTGGTTTGGAGCCCGGTGGTTTGGTGATGTGGGGTGGTTTCGGTTAAAATTCTACAAGAACCAGGGGTTCCAAAAACAAACCCAAACCACCAAACCAGAAAAATCAGGAGGCTCAACCCTAAGGAGGCTGAACCCTCTTTCCAAAGGCCGCCCCAGGCCTATTTTTTTCAAGGCGCCATGCCCTTGTTGCCAGCCCCCCCCCCCGATGTCCTCTCCACCCAATCAGGGCCTTTGCAAGCTGCGCACTGGCAAGCGCGGGTGCACGCCCAGCGTCTGGCGATGGGAGTGCCAGCGCGCCGCGAGGGAGAGAGAAAACGGCACGGGCCCTGAAAACTCTTCACTGGATGCCGTGAAAACTCGTCATTGAACTAGCATAGTTTCTTTCATAAATAAAAACTCGTCATCCTGAAGATTCATTTAGAACGGTTTTTTGGGTTCAGGGGTCGCCCAAAACTCCCAGAGACCATTTAGAGCGTCGGAAACCAAAACGCCTAGGAAAAGGCCGGACTGGATTTGGGCATTATAAGCCTCGAAGCAACTCAAATTACTTCTTTCTGAGACTTCTTAAAACGTAGGCACGATTCGATGGGGTAGAGCAATACTTGCTAAAGCCCCTCAGTGCTTTTCAGGGTACCTTCTTCAAGCATGTTTCCAGTTGGGTAGCCAATGAGATGCTGAAACGCAATTGCCCGCCACTTTTGTTTTGGTCCGAACCCAAACGGTTTGAAGCCGAAACGGAACGTGAGCGAGACACTGAACCACAAAAACCCAACATCCCACCCCAGCCCCAAAACCAAAACACCAAAACACCAAAACACAAAAATCCACCAAAATCCACCAAAATCCACCAAAATCACCAAAATCACCAAAACCACCAAAAACACCAAAAACAACCCAGAACCCTCACTTCAAAAAACCCAACACCCAGCGACCACCGCCTTTTTCAGACGCCCCTCGCAAACCCATCGACCGACTCGCTCCGATCGCTCCGCTCGCTCCGAGCGCTCCAAGCTGCCTGGCCCACCCGCAGCGCCAGGAAGCAGCGCTCGCAGGGCGGGAGGAACCGCGAGCCCCGGTAGACCCCGTCCGACTGGGCCGTGAGCGGCGTGGGCCGGGAGAAGTTGTCCAAGCACATCCTCGCAGCGCTCGATGATTGCGCGCAACGCGCAACTCCCCGGAGGTTTTCATACCCCACCTTAAGTTTTTAGGGTATCATGCCGACCCTCTACCAAAAAAAGAGGTATTTACCTTGAACAACCAGGTTTTTCAAAAAATACAATAGAAAATTGGGTATTTGGAGTAGGGGGTATTTGGGGGAGGGACAGGTGGTGGCGGACATGGATGGAGGGGGGGGAAAAGCGGGCACGGGGGGGGGGGGGGAGAGAACAAATTTGCTGAACTTTTATATGGAGGTGTAGGTTTTTGAGGGTTTGTCGTTTTGGAGTTGGGGCCCTCTCCCTTTTTCGGGGGCACAAGGTAAGCTTCTGCCCGATTTGTGGCAGTGCCATACCCTCCTACGAGTTTCATGGGTGTGGACACAAAGGAAACCCCTATCAAGATGCTTGCTAGGTTGCAACTTGCAACTCGTTGGGCATAGCTGTTTAGAAAAAGGGAAACCATTAGTTGACGATTTGAAGCCAGATGCAAGGGGAAAATGTTCCCCTCAATATCTGGGTTGAAGAATTCAGGAACCAACGCTGCATGCCAACTCAGCAACATGTACCCAGCCTGTGGACGAAATGTGCGACGATCGGCACCAGTTGAACCCGCCATTTTTTTTCGACCTTGAAGTCTGACAAGCACACATATTGTGGATGGACGAAATCCTTCTCGCACCACTTTGAACCGTGGTTGAAACCATAGCGTTTGATGGTATTTACAGGGGAGTCGTCAGAAACCAGAAAGGCGATGGAGCCCCCTGGCGGCGGACATATTTCGGGGACCCCTCAAAGACACACGATGAACCGCTGTCCTTTGAATTCCCTTTAAACCAACCTCAAAAATGCACTCTCAAAAAACAAGCCTCCCAAAAATCCCCTGACTCACAAGAGAATCCTGTATGTCGAATAGGGGCCCCGCTAACAATGGTTGTTGTCCCTTTGAATACCCTTTGTAAACCACCCCAATACCCCCACAAAACAAACACACACACACACACACACACAGCGACACATGTATCAGCACACACATTCTACCAATAACTCCAAACATCTCCAAACGCAACAAATTGGCGTCCACTCGCTGGCCCCTTCTTTCCCCCCGAAAGAAAACGACCTCAAAACCCCATGGTCTTTCGGCCGCCAAACGGCCAAAGACCTCCGAACCCCCCCCTGCTGCCCAGGCGGCAGGATGCAGACCGGATCCTCCTCTGCCGGTTTTTCGGGGAAATCGCCGGGCGCGAGCTCAAATAGGACCTGCAACGCTCGCTTTCCACCCCCCCACGCCGGAACGTTCTGGGGGAAACGAAATCGGTACTAACCCAAGTACTTCATGAGGATGGCTTTTGGGGGGTAAAAAGGGGTCTAAGTACCTCCTCAGAAGGTACTTGGACCCTTTGGGATAGTGACTATTGGCAGCATAGAAGAAACACATAGAAGAAACACATGATTTGCAGAACTACAGTCCACCAGGGCAAGTAAGGGCATGCTCGCCAACAGAACATAAAATCCCGTTCAAGCTAGGCACGCAACAAAAATGCCAGGTTCGCCAAACCATCCGGCAAGCCTCTCGCGCTAAGTATTCGATAGAAAAATGAATGCCCTGCGCCCTGAAGGCACCCATTGCAATATGGCCGGTTGTTTTGGGTAGGCCGTTCGAGCGGAACAAAAATGGCTGGTTTGTTCCAAAACAATAAATGG